GAGGTACTTTGTGAAAGGACCTGGGTTAAGCACACTTGAGTTTAAGTTTGTATAGCTATTGCAGTGTTCCTAATCTTTTTCTGTATGTGCATCATGTAACAGAGTCAACAACAGTGTGTGTTCAAAAGCCACATCACTACAAAGTAAACCCTCAAGCTGTACTATGTCTTCCCTGAATTATGAAGTGTCAGTTGTCTCTTCCTTTGTCTGAGAGGTGTATGAGATGCCTTTCTTTATTCTGAGGAAGGGTGTATCACTGAAGAATGCAAAGTTTAGTTCTAAGATCTGTTGAAAGAAACTCGGTAAGCTTTAGTTAGCTTCTGGACAGGTTTTTTCATCTTGTCCTCAGATATAGGATGTCTTGACATTGTCTTTACTTTTAACATGGCTTTATCTTCCAGTCAGAAGAGGTAGTTGTCTTTGGATGGAAAATCTTCTGGGAGAGAGTTTCCCGTCTCTATTGAAAACAAAAGGGAAGTGACTCTTTGGTCATTTGTGTAAAAGCCCTCTTAGAACTATTGTCCTCAAGGAGAACTTGAAGTTGGAGGGGTTCAGTTTTTATTAGCTCTACACAGGTTAAACTATTTATGGAGGTAGGAGAGAGAAGTATGAGGCTATGCTTCTGTGCTCTAGATATTTCTTCTCTATATATGTGTGCGATGCAGCATGTTGTTGAAGCCAGAATTGTGCTCTGTTTTGAATTATGTTCTACATCAATCTGCGGGTTTTCAATAGTTCTTTCTGATTCTTGGTCATTCATTCTGTCTGTTTCTTTAGCAGTCCTTTCTGAATTCTGAAAATCTGAAACTTGATTTAAGTGCCCATCAGGTGCAAGAAGTGTATCAGACCTCCCCTTTTCCCATACCATTCCGGGTGGGAAGGAAGTAGAAGAGAGTTCCTATGTTTAACTTGCTAGTCTGGAGCCTGCTTTCTTTCTGAGAGCTTTGATTTCCTACTCATCTTTGGATCATATTTTACATACACCTCAGTCAGACTCAGCACCCGAAGAGATGTTTACTCTTAAGAACCACAGATTTTATTGGTCTGTATTACTAGCCAGATGTTCCTGAATGTACCTTCTCCTTTCTAGAAGTGTGTTCAACACTGCTCATAATATTGAGTATCATCTTTGAAACTCCTTGCACTTTCATATCTCCGTCCAATTTTCACAGCTGAAACAAGGCTTGGAGTTGCTAACAGAACAATGAGCTGTCTTCCCTTTGTTTTCCTTTAGCCTTCTTTTGTTCTTGTAACTTACATGGGTGGGTTGTTCAGCATGAATGTTTACGAATCATTTCTAGAGTTTTCTAAATTATGCTTTAAGATGTTTAGAATTTAATGCTTTTTTTGTTGCTTACTGTTAATCCAGCCAGGACAAACATCAAGTTGCTTCTGGAGGGTTCCTATCTCTTGTGTAGCTTCTGTTAGGAGTTAACTCTTGCCATATATGAGTATTTTGTTCATTTTGTCGTTTATTTTTTTCATTTCCCCACATTCATAGGGCCATAGGGTGATTCATGTTTGATCACTTGATTTGGTCTCAAGAACTCAGGAGGTCAGTAGTGCAACCTCCTGCACGAAGTAGGTGCAGCTGTGAGGTCAGAGCAGGTTAAATAAAGCTATATCAAGCCTAGAAACAATATGAAATACAGTGTCTTAAATATGCTCTCACTTTTGTATTTGAACAGGACACTGCCCTTTTTGAAGACCCTTGAGTTTTTGTTTCGTGTGGGGTAAGGATTTTTGGTTCAGTAGCCTCTTCTGAAAGACTATCCTGTTGAATTCTTAGTTCTGTCAGGAAAACCTGTAGCGATGATGAAGCCAGAAGATGTCATTTTAATATTCTCTATACTTTTTCTCTGTGTGCTCAAACCACATTTTTGAATTTCTAAAATGTGTTCCTACATCTGCAACTTTTCTCAGACCTCTGATCTCACAGCTGTGGATTCAATAGGCAAGAGAGGTTATCAAAATAAAAGACGTGAAGACTGAATGTCCCTTCTGTCAGGCTTTGTGTTCTTCCCCTGAAGACCTAAGGCCCCATGTGGGAATTTGCTCGGGGAGGTAGACAAACAATGAATGGATGTATTTAAGTTGCTTTTGAAATGAGAAGATTGCTTACCATCATTATACCAGAATTTTTAAGATGAGTTTTCCACTTACATTTTTTTCTACGTGCCCGTGCTATGTCCCTTGAAGTCCATAAAATGTCACAAGTGTGCATTTTAACTGAACAAAGGTGAGCTGGGGATTATGGTTAACATGCTGCGTAGTGTATTCTGTTCTCCTTTGTGCCCTACACTCAAGGCACTGAAAAGATAGGACAAAGGCATGATTCAAAGCATCTTAGGGCTAAAGGCATCTCCACATGGAGTATGTTTATATGTGAACATAGTTTACTTTTTTATGTACAATAATATCAACAGTATCCATATGTCTAATGGTTCCTTACGTCTTTCTACGTGTCTCTGAAGTGATGCTCCAGGTTTATTTCTTAGAGCTGAAAAGACTGGATCATGTGGTTTATAAAATTGTGTAGCTGTATGGCAGACTAAATAACAAAAACGTTTTTTTGTAGACTTTCAAGCTATGATTCTAAAAAATAAAATAAAAGAAAGAGGGGGGGTTGAATAACATATTGCTATTGCAATTTTTGTTTTAGTTTGAAGGATCGTAGGAGCTTCAGTCAGCAAATTTCACTTGGTCCACCCATGCCACAGTTGCTGTGACACACATGGTATATTTACAAATTTTATTTGCCTTTCTAACCACAATAGCACAGCTTCCTGTAAAAGTAGCATTGACTGTAGGTGGATCTATAGAAATCTGGCTGTTGTTACTTAATCCTTGGTTCATGCTTAGTTTTGACACTAGTATAATTTTCACGTTAGATATCAACCATTAGCTTGAATTAGCTCTAATTTTCGTTGATTTTTGTTTTGTTTTCCTGCAAGCAAATGCTGATACATAAATAATATAAATTTGGGTGATGGTTTAAGAAAAAACAAATAACAAAAGCTTCTTACAAAGCAAAAGCAATTCAATCATGAATGCGCTCAAATATGATGTGTGCCCAAAGTCATTTTTGTTACTTTGGTTCCAGCCTAGCAGAAGGAGGATGGGAGAGGTTAAAAACAAAATCTGTGTGCGGCTAATATACGTGATCTGTGCTGTTCCACAATGTGTAAGCAATTTTATAATTCAGGCTTTTGGTCTCTGAAACTATTTGGTTATTGAAGCACTACAGGGCAATCATTAGCAATTCTAAAGGGAACAGACTATATTTAAGCAAAGATGACCTCTGTTTTGTGTTAAAATCTAGTTAAATTTGCATCGTTCAACTTGATTATGTTTAAAGGTACTTAAATGCAGTTTCAAAGGCCACCACCATTGAGGGCTGCTCTAGAAGATGCTGTTTTGTATACCTCAGTGCTGGGCCACTGCATTTTGGATTTCAAAGGGTTTTGGTGTCAAAGGTCATCAGAGTTACCAGATTTTAATTTGAATTAATTGTTTCAAGTCTACAGCTCAGACTTTTTTTTTTTTTGCAGCTGTCTTTAAAGTTGCATTTCTTTTTTTTTATTATTATTATTTACAGTCCTTAGTAGGGGATAAGATTTCCTTCTTTGTTATCGTTTCAGTGTTCCCATGTTTATTTTAACATACTGTTTTCTCAGTTGGGTGAATGTCAAACAACAGGAATATATTCTACTTTAAAAAATAAAATAAAATAAATAAATAAATAAAAAACCCACAGGAAAAATGTCTGTCATAATGAAAGCTGAAGTCATTGTGAGGGAGAGGGTGGTGTACCCATAAGTGCCTGCCTTGATCACAGAATCACAGAATCGCAGAATTGTAGGGGTTGGAAGGGACCTCCAGAGATCATCAAGTCCAACCCCCCTGCCAAAGCAGGTTCCTTACAGTAGCTTCCCTACAGTAGGTCGCACAGGTATGATCTCCTCCTGTTGCTTTGAGTAAAGGCTGCTTCAGCTCCTGGCTAGCTTCTTCACTTAAAAATAAGAGGACAACTTGGGCTGTTGTTTCTGGTTATTGCCTTCAGTGCTGTAGCTGGGTCTGTGACTGTTTATGTATGACATGTTTTTCCAAATAATGTTAAAATTAAGCTTTGCATTATGTTTCAAGGCTGCGATCTATTTAAATTCATAAAATGGGAGGATATTTTTCTTTGAGCTCTAGCACAGCAAGTAAATGTTGGGGGTGGCACACTATATTAAAAAAAAAAAAAGTTTTTTTGCCAATAAATTTTCTGCGTAATTGAATGTCCTGGATTTCCTACTGCATCATCAAAATTTAGACCATCTGGATTTGATTTTAGCTTCTGATCTCCTGCCATGACCCTTGCCATCACCTATGCTATTTTTATGCTGTATGAAGTACTGCTAGCTACCCAAACTGAGGAATCTTTTTCTTGCAGTAAGCATAAGTATTCTCAGCATACATACCTACTGCCCTTCTTTAATTTTTGTATAAGTTTGTCAGTTGGTTTCAGTGCTCTCTCATTCTATTTCAAAAACAGTCAGTTCACCCAGTAGATTCTTCCCCAGAGTTGTTTGTATTTGACATAGAAATGCACAGGTACTTCAAAACTGTCGGACAGTGAAACTGTTTTGTTACTTCAAGCTTTGCTGAGCAAGATGACAGACTTTTAGGAAGGCAGAGTCTGGTTAGGAGGTCTGATCTGACATGCGACAGATGTGAAGATTATATTGTAGTCGTGTTTTCTTTCTCCTCTACATCACAGTTTACTTTAGCAGAGTGATAATACAGATTTGTATGTAAACACATTCCTTTGCCATTTCAGGAGCACAATGATCAGAGCTTGACAAGTCTAGTTCAGCATTCAGCAGTTAGTAGCTCTGTATTAATTGGACGGTCTTTCTTCCTGGAAAGTAGTGTTTGTTTAAATTTCACAGTGAAATATTTTTTTAAATTAACAGTTACTTTCAATTTTTTTCCTCCCCCCCTTCACTCCCTAGATGGTAAAAGCAATCCAAGTTCTTCGTATTCATCTGCTTGAGCTAGAAAAGGTTAATGAGCTTTGCAAGGACTTCTGTAGTCGCTACATTGCCTGCCTGAAGACAAAAATGAACAGTGAAACTCTATTAAGTGGAGAGCCTGGAAGTCCTTATTCACCCGTGCAATCTCAGGTGTGTTTCAAATACAATTAAATCTGTGTTGTAGAGGATGGTCCTTCTCAGGTTTATGAATGTGTCTGATGCTATCTGTTTTTAAAAAGCCCCAGTGATTCTTAAAGTTTACTGTCTTACTTAGGCTTTATGTGGAAGTGTGGAAAGGCGAGTCTGAAATCAAATAGGAAAAAAAACGCCTTCTAAGGATTATTTTTGTATGGCTCTTAGAGCCTTGCTTCTGTTGACACAGGAGGGACTGAATGTTACGTTTGGTAACAGCAGAAATTATAAATTCCTGAAGATGTATGAATTAGCATTTGCAAGGTCAAGACTGTATAAGAATTATCCTAAGCAGAACAAATGTATTATGCATCCAAGATATCTAATAAATTATTTTGAAATGGGAAGGAATTAAGATAATAACTAAAATTCTGAAGCTTTGATGCTTGTAATAAGAGCATCAGGGATCCATTTTGTACGTCCTTTATCCCTTGTGCCTTTGGAAACTTTTTTTCTTAGTATTTATATAACTAGAATCATTTCTCTCCTATAATTACTGCATATAGTTTAATATCTTTTCTAACAGTTGCATTCATGAAGATTTTCAAAGATAATGATGGGTGATAATGAGAAAGTTAATGTAGGTAAATGATGAACTTCTAATGAAGTCTCTCCCTTTGAAGCTAATCCTGTGTTTAAGCTCCAAATGTATTTTTAGAGCTAAAATGACACAAGCTGCTTTATCTCCTTGGGGAAAAAAAATAAGTTCAACCAACTAATTGTTTTATTTTTCTAGCAAATGCCAAGTGCCATTGCAGGCACACTCAGTCCCCAAGGGATTATGGTGCCAGCATCAGCATTGCAGCAGGGAAACGTAACTATGGCAACAGTAGCAGGTATGACAACTAAAGAAAAACTGGCACCTTGCTATTTATTATGGGTCCTTTTATAGTTGTTACAAAAAATACACAAGTATTTCTTCACGTGTTTAGATTTTAAGAACAACTGAAAAGTTGTTGGTTTAATACGAGTGCCTTTATGGTTTCTGGATATCGATTTAATTTCTGTGTATACCAGGTATGTGTGAGTGGAGGTTACACTTTAAGTGCAATATTAACAAATCTTTCTGTGCAACACTAGCTAAGTCTTAAGAGATTGGAATATTTTTGCATTTAGTAACCATCTCATGCTCTGTACAGTCTAGAACTATCCCTAGGAGTCTGTGAAATCCTTCAGGTCCGAGTAGTTGTGTTAATTTTGTATGCAGGTAGCATTTGAATGCATAGTTGACCTATGTATCTAGGTGCCACTCAGCTGATGGCTTTTGCATCATGCATCTTAGATGACAGCTGGAATAGATTGTGGTATGTTAAAATAATTGATATGTTGTCAGAAGTGTGGTACTGTCTACAGTGATGATGCGTTTCTATGTTTAAAGAGAATATTTAGGGGCTTCTACTTACCAAAATGTTTTGTTTTTTCAGGAGGGACAGTGTATCAGCCTGTTACTGTGGTCACTCCACAAGGCCAAGTGGTGACGCAAGCATTGTCACCTGGGACTATTCGAATCCAGAATTCTCAGGTGTGTTTCTTGGGCTTCACAAAACAGTTTCCTGGGTTCGGATGAATCTCTTTGTTTTCAACAGTTTGGGTTTGAATGTGATACATTATAGGATTTACAGATTTTATAATAGGGCATGATATCCCAAGCAGATCTGCCTTGCAACGTCGTACTTCATACTTGTTAAACATTATATGTATTTTTCCCCTTTTCTGTTATCAGTAAAGAAAGAAAAAAAGTATTTACACATGGATTAAACAAAACCAGCCAAATAAAAAGCTTTCTAAATTAAATACCTTTTTACAAGGATTTTACATCCTTGTGATTTTACAAGGATTACAGCTTTCCTAATTGTTGAACTGGGTTTATGGCAGGATAGATTTGAATGCTGCTGTGTAATGCTGTGCTGCTGTCAGAAATTTGTTGTCTTAAGACGGCAACCACCAACACTGTGAAATTGTATGTATTCCTGTATCTCAATTATAGGAAATACCTCTTGAAATGCTCAGTGTTTCACAGTGCTCTGTATGTAGAAAAGAAAAACTGGTGGATAGCTATTGAAATTTCGTTATGAAGCCTCCATATGCAGACAGATCACTTAGAGAGTGAAACATTGTTTTGCAAATAAAAGAATGCCAAAAATATGTGCTTGTTGTAATTTGATGACTTGAACTTAGTTCAGAAAGGATATTTAAATCTTGTTTCATTCCAGACGTAGACATAATGACTGGCCTGAAGAAACTGCTCCCTATTGTTTGAAAAACCTGATTTGGAATAAGTTATAATTGTCTGAAACGCAATCTCATATGCAATTTATATTCTGTTTCTTATTATCTCTGCCTAAGCACTTAACAACGTATCCCCTCGTGTTCAGATAACCAATGTGCAAGCAACTTGATGTAGCTCTAGAAGTGAAAAAGAAAGCAAAGCTGTGAAGGAAACCTGAAATTTTAGGAAAACAGTGTTGTAAAGTGAATTCAGAATATGATGGTAGCCAGAACCTTTTCCCCTTACTAGTCTTTTGCATATATCTTCCTACTTCTTGAAAAGTTGGATGAATTTATTTAGCAGGACCTTAAATACCATGGTTTGCAACTCTGTTTATAATTTTAAGTTCTTTGCTAAAGACCTAAATCTTTACTACTTTACAGCTTCCATAATTGCTTGTGCTTGCACACAGTGAATTTATTCAGGATGGGGTTTTTCAGTTGCTCTTCGCTCTTCGCTTGTGCAAGTGAGTTGGTAGGGTGAAAAGTCAGTCGAAACCCTAACATTGCATGGATCAGTACAGAGAATCCTGTCATTTAGTACATGGAGGGATTTTTTTCTAAATTACAGCAAATCATCATTTGGCTCTTGTGACAAGATCACATATACACCCTGAAAACAGTTGTAATTCTTAAAACAGTAACGTTCTATAATTTTTGCATTATCTGGAAATCTCATATCTTGTATTCCCTGAAAAAGATGTTTTGGAATGCTATTGTAGGTGAGCTGCTATTGTAAGCCTTCCCTAGCAAATAAAGTAGCTTTTTAGAATCAGAGTTCCTAATCTCTTTTCATTTCTTCTCCAAATAACATATATTAATGCAAAATACTGCTGTTACTATGCTAACTTTCTTATTTTAAAATTATACACGCAGCTTCAGTTGCAATTAAACCAAGATCTAGGCATCTTGCATCAAGATGATGGCTCATCAAAAAATAAAAGAGGAGTTCTTCCCAAGCACGCTACAAACGTGATGAGATCTTGGCTATTTCAGCACATAGGGGTAAGGACTGAACATGATCAGGAGTCAAAGATTTTTATGCAACTCTATGTGGTCTTTTATAATTTTGTTTCATAGGGAAAGTGAACTTACTGTTTGTGTAATCCCAGCTCAGTTTTTTCTGAAGTCATTTGGAGCAGTTCCATCCGTTTATGTCATTATTGTTTTAATAATCACGTTATATTTGTACCCCACAAGCTCAATTAATGTTGTTAAAAGGGATCCTTCATTTCATTGTGTTGAGAATGTAGTGCTTTCTTGGCCCTGCTCTATGGCACACAAAGAAATACTTCTATTTGTAGCTGTGAGTTTTTTTGAGGGGTTTTTTGTTTGTTTCTGTTTTAGAGGAATTTCAAGCTTTCTGTCTTTTCCCCTTTTCAACAACACTTCCAATGCATACCAAGTGTGTTGCTACCTACTCTTGCCTGCAGTACAAGTCCTGCCTTTGCATAAACGTTTATTCTTGAAGAATATTGTGGTGTTTAATATTGGTATTTTCAGTCATCTAGCAGCTATTTTGAAACAGACAAATGATGCTGGGAAAGCACGTGTGTGCTTCTTTAGCACTTTTCCACTCTTTTCATCCATTTAGTTCAGAGTAGCTTATTTTAACTAGAAGAGGCTTGTCAGTACTCTCATATGACAGTGCCTTTAGAAAGCATAACTAATCAGATCTTATCACATGCTTATTGCCCAGAGATCACGCTGTTTAATAAAGATTGTCAGCCATGAGAATCTCTCTTGCTGAATTAAACATCAACAGTTCAATGATACAGTGCATATTTTCAAGGATAAGATCAGTTTTGCATAGTAACGCACTTCTTGTTAAATGATTTTTATCTATAAAAGTTTGTGAGGTTTCTTGAATTTGTTCATTACAAGTTAGGTGACCTTAGTCTAGCATCTTTAATCACTTGTAATAAAGGAGTCCTTATTTTTGATGAGGAAATGAAGCAGAAGCTTATGTCTTTATTTGCTTTTTTCTCTTGTTTAGCATCCATATCCAACAGAGGATGAGAAGAAACAGATTGCAGCACAAACAAATCTTACACTACTCCAAGTTAACAATTGGTAAGACCGAAAACTCTTCCAACTTCTCTGTTTTTGTCTCTGTGTGCTTGTAAGATTGAGAAATAATTAAGAGTATGGCTTGGATATGTGGAGTTGAGCTTACTGTTCCATGCTACATGTTTAAGGACTAGAATTATGTGCGGATACACAAGTATCTTATTTATATCCTTCAGCCACTTTGATTATATAAAGACTTCAGAAAACTTTGCAGCCATAAGAATTAAACTCTTCTATCGCTTGAAGAGATGGAAGTACTTGCATCTCTTCTGCAAGATAATTATATTAAAAATATATATATGTAAATCAAGGTTCAAGGAATTTAGTGACCTGAGGCTCTGAGGAGTGTTCCCCGTGTGATTATGGCTGCATATTTTACAGTTTGTTACTGTCAATAGATCTTCATTCCACTTTTCTACCAAATGACAGTTGCTAAACAATGGTGTCCAAATGGAAGGTGTCAGTACCTCAGCCACTGTAGTTCGCAGCTCAGTATGTAGTATGTCTTAAGTTTAAACTTAAGGGTTTACAGGCTTAAGGTGAGAAGCCTGGTCTTGCAGAAGAGGAATGAGGATGCCAGCATGCATCCTATTCTACTCATGGGATTGTGTTCCTAAAATCACTGTAGTGATTTCAAAATGGTGCTGGCTGCAGGACTGCACAAGGGTTCAGTGAGGAAATACACAAGGTAGTGGCTGTACAGTGGTTGCATAAGTGCATCAGTATAACTGTTCTCATGGTGTGGAAGTAACAGAGCTGTATGGTACTGAGATTTGGCTGATGTTTCTACAAGGCATTGCATTAGGCTGTGTGAATCTGACAGCACCACTCTACTTCCTTCTGAAAAATGTGCTTAGCAGTGTCTCCTGGATCAGACACCAGGCCTGGAAAAACCTGTGAGCCTTTCAAATAATTGAAGCAGGCAGGAGCTTATTGGAGTAAACAAAACCAGACCAAACTAACTAGGTTAGACAGGGATAAAATTTAGGTGAGCCCTAATAAGAGGAGTGTCAGCTTTCTGAATGGTACTGTCAACAACTTTTCTGGTGCTTAGCTTATAATAAGATCTTGAAATGTACATTTGTCATGCTGTCTGGAGAATTTTTGTCAGTGAGGTTTTTTGGGAGGGAACACTTAGCAGCAAAATGAGAGGAGTACTTGCTTAGCTAGTTTGCTAATATTGAAGGATGACAGTATTCTAGGAGTTCTAGTTTTACATGCTAAAAAGAATGTCAGACTGAGCTGGAAGGGAGAAGTGATGCTTTGCAGCTTTTATACTTCTGTTTGGTTTTTTCCTACTGCATACTTTGTGAATCCAAGAGACAGAATATTAACCAACTTCAGCTCATGAGTACTTACCACTGATTGTGTTTAGGTTTATCAATGCTAGAAGACGAATTCTTCAGCCAATGCTGGATTCCAGTTGTTCTGAAACTCCAAAAACAAAGAAGAAAACAGCTCAGAACAGACCGGTTCAGAGGTTCTGGCCTGACTCCATTGCATCAGGAGTTGCTCAGCAGCAATCTAATGAGCTCACTATGTCAGATGGTAAGGAGAACTGGTTAGAACACAGAAAGCGAAGTTGATTCCTCTATAACAGAAATGGAGAGTTTGATACATCTCGTGGAAGAAACTCCTTGACATTTCAGCATGACTCTTCTTAATTTGGAAAAACGTAACAAGAGTGTCATTTTTTTTCATCTTCAGTTTATTTTTGGGAGGGATATTTTATTGGAATAAATGCAGTGAGACACTTGCTTTTATTTCAGGAATTATGAAACAGTAGGAGGAAGGGTAGGTGTGTAAATAAGTTCTCTCAGTATGTGTAGACACACCAGCTGCATTCTGTTTAATTAGAAGTACTGGACTGTCCCTTCAGCTTCACAACTCCCCATCCGTTGTGAATCTGTTCACGTTCCTTTCACCGTTGCTATCTGCACTTTTATATAAGCTTCAGGTGTTTCAAATTTCTCATTGTGAAAAAGAGAAATAGACTAATCTCCAAAAATTTGACTGCAGTAACTTCCATAGCATCAGATCCAATAATATTTCACTTTCCTAAATTGAATCTGTTTTAATCTCAGGACAGTCCTGAAGCCTGCTGCTTTATTCATTGCAGTGTTTTAGCAACTTTTTTTCCTCAGCTCCTGCTGGGTTTGACAACAACTTTATCAATTTAAGTCACGTTTTCTCTATGAACACTCCAATTTTTCTGCAGTGGGTTAAACTGGAGTACTTTGCAGAAATGATCTTGTGATTACTTGATTGGAGATTTCTTTAATGAGTATCCAGAACACAGATGAATTAAAGATTCTAGACCAACGTGATTCTGGCATTTCCTAACGTTTAAGTGTCTGACAAGTTATTTAGCTTTTATTTTAATTTAGTTCCTTAGATTTTCTTCCTGTTGATCATAAACTGTACTACATACAAATATGTCTTGCTTAGCCTGAGAAACCAAGAAAGAAGCTAAAATTGTGTGATTGTGCTTCTCCAGGTGCTGTTGTAACAATTACAGCCCCGGTAAACATGAATGTAGACAGTCTCCAGTCCTTGTCATCCGATGGTGCTACACTGGCCGTTCAGCAAGTTATGATGGCGGGGCAAAGTGAGGATGAGTCCGTAGACAGCGGTGAAGACGATGGAGGAGATCTCTCAACGACAAATATCAGTGGGCTGGTTTTGGATAACAGCGATTCTCTGCAGTAGGAAGCATGAGAGTGTGACACAACGTTTAGGAAAAAGAATGGACTGACTGACTGTTTTTATAGTTTGCACAGCAAACATTTTACACAAGTTTTATTTCTAATATGTTTTATATGTAGATATAGAAGGGTGCACTTTTTTGTATTTCATAGTAAGCTTAAAGAGTGTTTTTGCAGGTGCAGCAACTTCTTTCAAATGTGGTTGTTCTGTTTTTTTTCCATTTCATTTTCTTATTTCAGAAAATATTATCTAGTAATATAAAGAACCACGTAAGCACCCCTTTATTCTCTGAATTGGAAGTGCTGCCATTTCTAAAGAATTATGCAGTTTCAATTAGTGCTGTTATTTAACACAGCTCTTGATGGGCAGGTGATGTAAATTTAAAGCATGTGAGGAACTTGATCGTTAAGTTTGATGCGTATATTTGAAAGATGCTTCTGCACCTTAAAAACTGCTAGTCTGAGGTGGACAGCAACACACACACAAAGAAAAAGGCCATGTGTGATTCAGTAGCGAATGTATGGCAACTTCAATGAGTTTAGTTTCTCTCGTAGTCCATGAGCCTGTTTATCATTTGCTATAAAAACTCCTATTTTTACCTTACCGGGATTATTGGATAAAAAAAAAATATTTTTATAAATTCATGAGGAATTGGGATGACAACTGTATTATGCAGGAGTTTAAAGAAAAAAAAAAATTTCCAGAGGGGAAAAATAAATGTTTAGTATTCCTATTTGGAAGGTCTGAAAACTGACCAAATTTAATAAACGAGCCTACGGTAGCACTCTATGATTCTCAGCTATCCTACAGTGATAGAGTAAACGTATATTTGATAATAGCATAAGAAGGGCCCACTGTTTGATGGGGTTTTGATATTGTCAAACGTTGATTTATATTATGTGTAATATTCAAATTCCATTAACTCTGCATCTAGACTTGTATACGAAGATATTTGCTCAATGACTGTTCAGGTAAGTAAATTCAAATACCCACAACATTTCCAGTTATTGGAGAAATTTAAGAGTTTATAGTTTGTAGACCCGATTCTGAAAAGTTAAAAGTTGTGTACTGCATCATTATGAATTTTGCTATCACTCCATTGTATTGAAAATATTTTCCCCCACTACAAAAAGAAGTAATTTATGGGTTTATATAAAATTTCCTCAAATCCGAAGGTCGCCACCAGAGTATACAGCAGGCTTTATTACAGTAGAAGATCCTTGTATGTCATTTAAAAACGAAAACCTAGCGATGAAAATATGTTTTGTGGTAACAATTAATTTCGCCTTGTCCCTCTCTTCTCCCCCCCCCCTCCGAAGTTTGGAGTCTCTATTTATCCGTGAACACTTACTTTTGGAACTTTGTGTTTCGAATAAGACTCCAGGAGTCACGGTATGCTCAATGTTCTCATTTTAACCCTGTCCCTTTGTCCCTATGTTGGGTTGGATCAAAGCCAGTAATCTTTTCTCATTAAAACCAAATCTAGTTGCATTTCTAACATGACAGGGAAGAGGATTTTAGCTTGCAGAATCTTCATCGTGTTTGAGCAGAACTCTGCAAATATTTGAGAACTTTATTTCTGCTTTCCAAAATACTCAGGCATGTGCTTTAAGTCCCATTGATTTCTGTGGGATTAAAGCCTGTACTTTTTTTTATATGCTTAAATGCTTGGAAGTAGGTCTTTAAAGACTGCATTACAAGGCTAGTTTAAATTGGTATGAAAAAAAAACCCAGAAAGAAATGCCAGGATCGCTGGTACGCATACATGTACAATAATGCTAGTTTTAAGTGATTGGTAGCTATTTTGAAAAACTGATGTTGGGACTTAATCAACACTCGTGATGTTTCTGCAATAGCTTTCGTTTATTCCTGGCTGAGGTTTTTGCTTCCAAGTTCAAATCCTGTAATGATCTGCTGCAGCTGGAGTGGTACCTTCTAAACGATTTTGGTTAAGTTCTCTGCTTTGCTGCTCGTGCACCGCATTTGTTAAAGGGCATAGCAAATGGCTGACAAAAGATAGCATGACTATCCCAAAAGCTATTGTCAAATCCATTTGAACCCTAAAATATTTTACAAGACTGCTATCATGTACAAATCACGCTCCTCTGGAAACGTTCAACCTACTGCTCCTATGAAGGATGCCAGAGATAACTAGAACCAAGAAACACATCCTGTTCTTAGTCGTCTTTGTTTTAACTCCAGAAGCACTTCCCTTTATGTAACAGGCTACGCTTTTGGTTTCTGTGAGGGGATTATTCAGCTGCCCTTGTTAATATTTAATAATGGCTCTAATCTTTGTACTTGTAGCACGTAGGCAGATGAATAATAACTTCTCAGTGCGTACAGGGCCATGGTAAAATCTGTTCTTCCAAATTGGCCTAGAAGGAAATTTGTGCTAGAAGAACAAACCATTCTGTCTCCTTCCCCTCCATGACAAGTTGCTCCTCCAGGTCTACCGGCAGAGCTTTCCCCACCAGCTTCAAGGCAGGCAAGGAAACAGTACAGCAGTGAACCTGGGAGGGCAGTGATTAGCCAGCAGTGAAAGGAGAAGGGTGAACTAAAGCAGAACTCAGCTTTTTTCTTCTTTTTTAAGACGACTAAGATGATTTAGTATCTGTACAGCTGGCTGGAATACATACAGTTTATCTGCCATTTTGAACTCAGTTGAAAATAGGCATCGGGGCTTGCAAGCTTCTGAAAGCTTATTTTTTCAGAAAGAAAATGTTACCAGCTTGGCTTCTCCATTCCTTCTTCCTCCCACACACCTCACTCCTTGCAGTTTTTCTCCTGAGAGTACTGTGACCTTCTCTTGATATAAATATCCAGAAAGTGAAACTAACAGAAGCCCCTATGAAAGGGAAGAACATGAAATAGTTCTGTTGTCCAACTAGAGACAGTTAATTATTAGAACAAAAGAGGTTTACCGATATAACCAAAGGTATTACTGAACATATGGAACTGGAACTCTGTATTTTAATTTGGTGAGAATTCTGTAGTAGGTACGAGCTGCATAGAAGTGTGGTTTTGTTGTTGTTTTGGTTTTGTTTTGTTTTTCACAATTGGGGGGGGGGGGGGGGGGGAAGGTGTGTTCTTCCTTTTTTGATGTGTAAGATTGTTGGCTTAAACAAAGCAACGTTATCCAGGAGAAGTGTATGTTTACATTAGACAGTTATTTACAAAGTCTTTATAGGGAACCTAACATTAAACTCATGTATAATTATCCCTGTCCCCAGTTTGTAGGCAACAGAAGAGCTCACTTGTTTTTTGTTTTTTTGGTTTAAATCACTGCTATTCTTCTGCAGTCACAACTACTGAAACTTCAAATCTTTTCCAATCTAATCCAGATCATTAATACAAAACAAGAGGTTTTAGACCACTTGTCCCAAGATTTCTGTGATAAGCAAACAGATCTCATAATCCTAGAATGGCCTGGGTTGAAAAGGACCACAAAGATCGTGTGGTTTCAACCCCTCCGCTACGTGAAGGGTCGCCAACCACCAGACCAGGCTGCCCAGAGCCACATCTTGAATGTCTCCAGGGATGGGGCATCCACGGCCTCCTTGGGCAACCTGTTCCAGTGTGTTACCACCCTCTGTGTGAAAACTTCCTCCTAATATCTAACCTGAACCTTCCCTGTCTCAGTTTAAAATCGTTCCCCCTTGTCCTATTGCTATGCAGCTACGTGAACAGCCATTCCCCCTCCTGTTTATACGCTCCCTTCAAATACTGGCAGGCCCCAATGAGGTCTTCCCAGAGCCTTCTCTTCTCTAGGCTGCTCAAGCCCAGCTCCCTCAGCCCGTCTCCACAGGAGAGGTGCTCCAGTCCTCTGATCATCTTAGTGCCCTCCTCTGGCCCTGCTCCAAGAGCTCCATGTCCTTCTTGCACCGGGGGCCCCAGACCTGGACGCAGTGCTGCAGGTGGGGCCTCACAAGAGCCAAGTAGAAGGGGACAATCACCTCACTCTCCCTGCTGGCCACCTTTCTTTAATGCAGCCCAGAACACAGCTGACCTTCCAGGCTGTAAGCACACACTGCTGGCTCACATCCAGCTTCTGGTTTACAGGACCCCCAAGTCCTTCTCCTATGGGGCTGCTCTCAAGGGGTTCTTTGCCCAGTTTGTATAAAACACCTGGGATTGCCCCAGATGAAGTTCAACACTTTGCACTTGGCCTTGTTGAACTTCTTTAGATTCACATGGTCCCACCTCTCCAGCCTGTCTGGATCCCTCTGGATTTCTCATTTCTCTTCAACTTTAGAATCACTGCATTTGGTAAGCGAATTCAAATTGGTCAGTATATATATTTTAAATATATTCCAAAAATATAACAAAAGTAATCATCATACTGGAAAACATTTAGAATCAATAGGCATGGCTCTGGCTCTGCAGAGACTTTCCTAGATCTGGGTATTGGGTCATATTGGAGTCCTGCTGACCTCAGGGAAACTCCATAAGGGCTGCGTTCGCCTGTGTAAGAATTGCTTCCCTCTAATGGTCCCTGATCATGATTAGGAACCTCTTGGAGAACCTTCCAACTTTCTGCATGATGATGTTTTCTCCCACTGGAAACCAGTGCATGGGTGAAGGGGTTGGAAGGGAAGAACTTCATGTGGACCTGGTGTGTGCCACGTGTTGTTTCAAGTCAGAATATGGCCAGAAGACAGACCTGCTGTGAAGGGCTAGAGGTCTCATTTCCTATGCTGTAAAAGTAGTTTCAGGTTTATGGACCTTCTTCTGGTGTAGAGATCTAATGTGTGAATCATGAATCGATTTGTTTCTCTAATCATGTGGAGAAAGAATTAGAAGGCAGTTCAGCTTCCTGACTTTATGAACTTGACAGCCCAAAAGGGTGCAACAGTCTTTCCAAGGGATGATAGTTTCTTAAAACTATTAGACGTGTAGCAGTTAACAAGGAAATAAAATAATGTATTTTGAAAAAAATGGAAACACATGCATTTAACTGTAATTAAAGTTGATTTAAGATTTATTTTCTGAAGCAGAGTTGTCTGGGGGAAAAAAAAAACGAATAAGCATTTGTCTATGCAAGACATGAATGTCAAAAATGTTGTGTGACTCTTCCATTTTCAGGTGCTATATTGTTGTCTTCTGGCTTCTGGTAACTTTTTTTTAAGAAAGTTTTTTAACTTTTTAAAAGATTAACTCTGTTAATCTTTTAAACCTTTCAGCCTTATATTCAGTTTGGTTCTGAGGGTCGAATGCGCAAAAAAAAAAAGAAAAGTAGCTCTGGAATCCTGTTGGAAATGTAACTAAATTTACTTCTCTCATGAAAATCTCGCATGTTGAACAGTTAAGTGAAATGTTTTGGTTTCCTAAGAATAAATTCAAACTGTCACTGCCTCCTAAGGACAGAGCATATCCATGACAATGCAAGTTGGACTGTAGTATGCAAATAATGAAGTAATTGACCTTGTGTTGGCTTGGCACAGCAGTTGGCTTTGCCAGACTCACCCCCAGTCTGGATTCCACACATGCCTTTCTTGGCTTGCTGTGCTCTTTCAAATAGGTTCTGGGTTGTTTAAGTAACTTGATTGTCCAGTGTAATGCATAGTGAATTTGGCACTAACGCGCTCTTAAGAGATTGCCCAAATCGTGTTATTTGTTCATTCTTGTCACATGGAAATATAAAATGGTTTCTTTGTTTGTTTTCTGTGACTTGGTTATTTAGGGCCTGCTGAGTGATCACAGCTGTTTTTGCCAGAGAAAAAAAACAAGCAAGAAAATGGCGAAACGCTTGTTAACCTTGTTATCAACCTTGTCAACTACTACAAAGATATGTACCTTGTGTTAATTGAATAATGTGTTTCAGATCATGACAGAAGCGGCCCGTAAGGCTGCCAGCAAGTTAGCAACATTTGGTCTATGCAGCTGACAGTCTTTAAAATGTGGGCCTGTAACTTTTTTTTTCTCCCCTTCCTTGTTAAGCAATTTTGGAAGCAACCCATCCGTCAAAGGATAGTTAAAAATCAGAACGTGCTTCATGGCTGACTTATTTTTTGTCTGCTGCTCTCTGTGAACTCAAAAAGCACATTTTTAAAGCAAAGCTCTCACATTACTTTAGCAGTATTGTTTGGCTGAAAGACATGGTGTTTTTTTTTTTAAGAGAAATCTTGAGCTGAGTTTCAAACTTTTTAACTGTTTTGGGGGCAGGGTTGGATGGTCTTGGGCTTCTGTTTGTTTGGGTTTTCTTGTTTATGCAAATGAAGAAAAAATGTCTATTAGTCCTCAACAATATGGGGATTTTTATTATGCTTTTGTAATGCAGGAGCAGCTTTGATGAAAGAAAGAAATAGCAGATAAATAGTCCATAACGTGTGTGACTTTGGGGTTTATTTTTGTTGTTGTTTCAAAATTGTTAATTAAAAATGGCATGGACATCAAACTTTCAATAATGGTTCCAAGCATATATGGTAATGATTTATTGGAAGAGAAACTCATTGGTGCAACACCCATGTGCTGACTTGTGTAGCAGAGTAAACTACAGTGCGCTTCTGAAATCATGATGTTCCGCTAGGTCAGGAATCAGGAAGTGAACAGCCTACATATGATGATATAGCAGCTCCTCGTTAGCATGGAACTCAGGCTCATTCCGTGTCTGAGTCCAGTTCGGCAACAACTGTGCCCTGCTGGCTGACATAGCCCTTATGTGGCAGCTGGGTGGATGTCACTGCAGGATGTGGGCTCCTTCAGAGGTTCCTGGGCATCTCACAGGCCATGTTGAAATGGCTCAGGTGACCATCAGCCTTCTGGTCACCTCTATAACAGATGTCCTCCTACTCAAAAGGACATGCATTTAATAATGGACTGTTTTCAAAGTAAGTGGTCTTTCTACAGCTATCTACTCACTCCAGAGCATGTTCTCAAGGTCCATATTTTATTTTCAAAAAAAAAAACAAAGTTTTTTGACCATATTTTGTTTTTAAAGTGTTAATGTATGATTAACTGAACAGTGTGTGTTCTAGACACAGGTGTATTATCATAGAATCATAGAATTGCTCAGGTTGGAAAAGACCTTACAGATCATCAAGTCAGTTCTCTGGTATTAAAAGGATGCTTGCATGTAGGGAGGTCAGAGTTGGAAAGAGTTTCAACTCAGCTCCTCCTTTGCACCAAAACAAAACCATACAAACTCCAAAGCCCTAAATTATGGCCCAAATAGCATGTTCCTAGTCTATGGGTCTCAAAGTTCCCTGGAAGATGAATCCCCTTTTTTAAGAAGGTGTTGCAGGGATTAGAAGCTGTTGTTTCTAAATACTCTTCTGCAGAAAAGCAGCGGTATCTTCTGTGCTCCGTGCACTCACTGTAAAGTGAGGGCTCTGCAAAAAGTACCAGACAAGGCCGGGACACCACACCTTATTTATTCCAAGTCCATATTTAAATTCATGCAACTTCAGAGAGTGCACGATACACAGCATCAAGCCTGTAGAGTATTTAAATACATATATACGCATACATTTTAAAACCAGGGTGGACTAACAAACCACTGTTCCCATGCCCTACTACAGTGTCAGCGTGATCTTCATACATCAGGCTTGATTTGTCTTTCCAAAGCAACTAAGATGTCATCTGAAGCTTATGGAAGTAACTGGGGAAAAACTCATCAGGATATTTATCTTTTCTGTTGGTCTCTCAACTCTTCCGTTAGCAGCAGCACTACAGGGCAGAAGCTTTGGCCCATAGCCCTACTCCTGGCCAGCATTCCCAGCATGTTTTTTGCTAATTTATCATGGAACCCAGTGCATACAATCAATGTAAATGTCGTAATAAAATTTAATTCAGAGACAATTTTCATTAAGGTCCAACATTTTTTTAAGATTGGATTTTCAGTAGTAGTGGAAATTGTATGAATCACATTGAAGGAATCAGTGATTCGCTTACTTGGTATTTTTCCTGTGCCTCCCACTCCCCTCCGAGCTCTCACTGAGAGCTACCACATGCAGAGATTCTGCAACATTTTAATGTCTGTTAAGTTACCTTTGTTAATACAATTCTGACTTTATAAGCTTGTTTCATCATTAAGATCTGGATTGCTCTTTCAGTGGAGACCTAATTATAGGTGTGATTCCACAAGCAGCATCCTTCAGTACTGTGCAGGTGCTGATTTTTCAAAGACACAGAGGAGTACATGTGTTCCCATGGGTAAGATCCAAATTAATGCCAGAAAGAAAAGTGAGTATTTCTGTTATTAGTGTCTCAGTGTATTTTTGTCTGTGGTATTTTATATACATATAAATCTGTATGTATATACACGCACGTCGGTCATTCTGAAAGCAATGTCCCCTGTTTATTTCCATGGAAACTACAACAGATGCAAAGAGTGCAGCAACACTGATAGAGCAAATTCTTAGCTACACAACACTATTTTTCAACATAGCCACCACTGCTAGCTATGCATTTTCACCAGCAATGACCAAGGGCCCGCATGCTGCACTCATAAAAATCTGCACCAGCAAAGATGACCCACCATTTCACAGCCGCTGTGATGGTGGTGTTGCTAGGAAAATGTTGTCCACACTATCCAACATTCCTTGGTCCAAACAGGAAGTCAGAAGGTGCCAGACACAGATTAAGTGTTGAGTGTGTCAGCACAGTCCACCCAAGACAGGCAATGTGCTCCACAGTCTTCAAACTACTGTGGGGTCTGGTGTTATTGTGTTGCAAGAGAAAGCTTGTCTTGCTCTCTGGCTTGACTCTGGAAGTTGGAGTCTTCAGTCAGCGTCACAATGTAGCAGTCAGAGCTGATGGCTTGTCTGTCTGGGTTCCAGAAAATCCAGAAGGATCACTCCTTTCCGATCCCAAAAGACAGTGCAAGTTCACATCACTTTTTCTTCAATGGAGTGTTCACATGTCACCACCTCATGCACTGTTGTTTTGACTCTAGCTCATAGTGGTAACACATCTCATCACTGGTAATGATGTGGTCCAGGAAACTGTCACCTTCAGCTTCATAGTGGTCCAGTAAGACCTGACAAACTTACATATGTGTTCTGTCCACTCCTATATGAACATTTGTGATACACACTTCATGCACACTTTGCGGTATTCCAATGTTGCCACCTTTTCTAATGCACTGAAGCCAATACTCACCTCTGTATGCAGTTCCCTAGTTGTAATCCACTGATTCAAATGGAGGAGCTGGCCGAGATGCTCTTCATTTCATGTTGTGACAGCTGTGCGTGGCCATCCAAAATGTGGTTTGTCTTCCACATTTCTGTCACCACTGCTGAAACGCACCACCCACCCCTCACTGCACTCACATCCACTGTTTGATCTCCATCAATGTTCAGCAAGAGTTGATGAATGTCAGGGGGTGCCATTTTTTTTCACATGTAGGAATTCAATGACACACCTTTGCTTCCTCTGCACTTCCATGTAAGATGCCACTGTGACAGACTTCCCCTCTGCTGCCCTCTGTCACACAGCAACAACGTGTAATGGGATTGAATCAACACACCACATCCCTATGGGATACAAAACGAGAGTTGCTGTAAAAAGCCCAACAACTTCACAGAAATCAGCTGTGGATGTTACTATGAATGCAGTAGTGAGCCAGTAAATAAAAATAGGCAGTTGCTAGCTTAGATGCACAACGTTAAAGCTAAATCTTTGAGTGTTAAAAATAAACTTTAGCACTTAAATGATCTGTACATTGTTTTCCAAAATGAATGTAATTTTGATCACCTATATGCAGTTTTTTATGCATGTGCTGTACTTTATGCAAGTACTGGAAGGCCACAGTGAGGTCTCCCGGCAGCCATCTCTTCTCCAGGCTGCAAAAGCCCAGCTCCCTCAGCCTGTTTCCACAAGAGAGGAATTCCAGCCCTCTGAGCATCTTTGTGCCCTCCTCTGGACCCGCTCCAAGAGCTTCACATCCCTCCTGTGCTGGGGACCCCAAGTCTGGACACAGTACTCCAGGTGGGGCCTCATGAGGGCAGAGCAGAGGGAGACAATCCCCTCCCTCTCCCTGCTGGCCATCCCTCTGTTGATGCAGCCCAGGGTACCTGATAAGGTGCAGGAAGGACCTGAGTAAGTGCTTCAGTTTCTTGGCACCAGGTTGTGCCACGAAGATGCTCGAAGGGATGGAGCACCTCTCCTACAAAAACAGCCTGAGGGAGCAGGGCTTGTTTAGCCTGGAAAAGAGAGAGGGCTCTGGGAACATCTCCTCATCGCCTTTCAGGCATGAATACTTCCCTGGTGTCTTACAGCTTCATGAGGCAGGCACCGTGCAGGCATACTTAAAAGGCATAGGCCCAAAAAGCATTGCTGTGTGAATCATTGTCATGTGGAGAAGGAAAGCCCCACTGGTTCCACAAATAGTGGAAATAATGAGCTTTTACAAAGTCACAGGATGCTGATAACAGAAACAAACCCCACAGACTTGATTTCATTATATGTAAAATCAATGCTTTTCAAGGGCTGCAATCTTCATTCCAAGACTCATTTTGCCACAGCTGTCTGAAGATGGTGGCTCTTTGTTCCCCCGCTGACCCCAGTGTTTGCACAGGGAGCATTCACACACAAACAGAATGATTCAGCCTGTCATTGGCCTCTCCTTTGGAAAGGTTATCAGTCACACCGAAGGGGCAGATAAGGTGCCAGGCGAAGGATAAGCTCAGCAGGCCGGCACCCTCTCCAGAGAGTGCAGACTGCTCCTGGCTCTAAACAATTTGCAGAGTGTTTATGGCTCTAAACAATTTGCTCTACGCTGCTCTGAAGGAGGGCCTGAAGCAAGGGGACTCTCTTCACTGTGCCAATGTCTCTCGTGTTGCAGGAGCCCAAACAGGAGAGACACGGACATACCAGAGAAAGTCCAGCAAAGGCCAGCAAGGTGATGGAGGAACAGGAACACCCCTCCTGTGAAGAGAGGCTGAGAGAGCTGGGACTGCTCTGCCTGGTGATGATGTGGCTTAGTCAGGGGGTCTCATCAGTGCCTATAAATACTTGAAGAAAGGATGCAAAGAGAACAGAGCCAGGCTTCTTTCAGGGATGCTCAGAGCCACAACAGGAGACCATGGGCACAAACTGGACCACAGGGGTTCTCAGAGCACCAGGCAGCTCTGCTGTGCTGTGCATATGGCAGAGCCCTGGCACAGGCTGCCCAGAAGCTGTAGGATCTCCTCCTCAGAGACTGCCAAAACCCAGTAGGATATGGGCCTGAGTGTCCCTGCTGGAGCTGGAGTTGGGCCAGATGGACCCAGAGAGATCTTCCCAGCTTTTTGTAGAAGCCCACATGCCTTGGCTTTCTGTTTTTACCCTTCAGTGTTAGCTGCTGACAGGGTCTGCTCTTATGCCTTGAACAGAATCATTTCTGTCACCCTTCCCATGGCCCAGTTGCAGCATAATCAGTAGGGGAAGAGGCATGTGTAGATCACTGTGTGATTCATGCTAAGTGTGAGTTTCAGCACTTCTGAGCCTTACTTTCTACCTTCTCTCATAACACCTACTTCAGAAAACCACTGGAAAGCAAGAGCCGTTATTTTCTAACTTTGTTCATCGTTGTGACGCATTTCTCAACTTCGAGCAGCAAAGCAAGCAGCACAAAAATTGCTGACAGCTGTCTCATCTCCTCATCTCACTCGGCCCTCAGCTTTGCTGTGTTCTTCAGCAAAATGAGCAGTGGGAACCTTGCAGTTCTTCTTGAGTCTCCCCCTCTGATTGCCATTTGCAGTCAAACAGCATCAGTGGGTGCCCAGCAGTAAAGAGGATGACAAGAAGCACACTGCACGCTTCAGGGCTATCTGGGGCACAAGTGACTAATGTGTGTTTACCAGTAAAGCATTCACACGTTCATTGGTAACACTGATTTTATTCAACCCCATGAACATAGCTGACATTTGTTAACACATCAGCCTGATGGAGCTGTGCTTGATTACAGTCTCCCTGCATGTATATATATGAGGATATAAATATATACAGCGCACACTTCAGAGCATTCAGGGCGCACATTCTACTGTCTCCAGCAGCAGGAAGGGGAGAGCTTGTCTCTAATCTGTTGACTTACTTAAGACACACACATCCACATCCTATATAAACATAGACACTCACAAAAGCACAATAACCTCACAAATAAATAAATAACTGCAGTTTGGTTCATTGCAGTGCCATCAGTAACCAACCCAATCTGTCTGCCCACTAAAAAGATGCTTAGATGCAACAGCACAGCATCTCCCCGCATGATGGGACAGTTTGAGGCCTGGAATGCATTCCAGTGAAGAGGCCTGATGGAGCAGAAGGCCTCCCACTCCCTGCAAGCCTCCAGTCCCACTGCCCTTGGAGCAGATCATGCCTCACCCCCATCACTGCACTGCAGTTGGCCACCCTGGGGAGGGCAGGTGCAGAGCTGGCCACCTTGGGGCACTACGGAGCCAGCAAGCACAGCCACCTCCTCCTCATCATAGCAGACACAGCGGGGACAGCCATCGGCCACTGGGCTGCCCACAGCCTGGCAGGAAGCAGGCACGGGGTCACAGCGTGAGCTGCAGGTGATGTCCCCGCTGGGCTGGCAAGTGCACAGCTTGCGGGCGAAGTCGATGTAGAAGGACCTGCCCGTGGGGACATGTCTATCACTGAAGCCTTGCATTTCGCAGTCATCCTGCAGGTAGGGTGGGCAGGCACAGGCCGGCACGCATGACGGGCAGCAGCCCCCAGGTCCTGGCTCGGGGCAGGCTGGACAGGCACTGGGATCACAGGTGGGTTTTGGGACTGCAGCACTGAGCAGCAAGCAGAACAGCCACAGGTGGAGTGTGCTGGTAGAATCCATGCTGTGGGGAGACAAGAGGGATTGGTGTGGAAATGGGCACATCAAGCCCCTCATGATTCTCATCCTATGACTGGTTGCCCCAGCTATCTCCTCTGACTGTGGTTACATCCTTGCCCCCGTGCTCTGTTTTACACAGCTTTCGCCTGCAAATATGCATCTACTTGTCCTTTTATAGTGGCCCTGTGTGGAGCCAGGAGTTGGACTCAGTGATCCTTGTGGGCCCCTTCCAACTCAAGATATTTGTGATTCTATGACTTTTCATTCTACTAGACTCAATTTGCTCAACAGAACCCACACCAGCCAACCCAAAACACCACGTTTCCCATTTCCCAGCTGCATAGGTAACAGCCTCCCACTCACTCCATTGCTACTCTCCCCAGACCCTTGCAGGTCCGGAAGGTGAGACCCCCCTGCCCCCTGCCCAGCCCCTGGTACCTGCAGTATAGCCGGATGAGATGGCTGCTGGAGTGTGAGGTGTTGCAGGATCCCAAAAAGTGCCCTGGTGGCCAGCAGCACACTGGCCCTCTATTTATGTGTCTGCAGTGTGAGACTTGATGAGGGAGGCGGGGAAGCCTCTACAGCACAAAAGGTGCTGGGCAGGGCTGGGGAGATGTTTATCTTGCTGACTTCTTAGTAGAATGAGCAAATGAGCTTGTTGGAGAGGTGCTCCCACCTTGCAGAGTAATGGGGTGAAGAGCAGGATTGTATGAAGTTTACTGCATGGAATTTAATAGCAACAAATGCAGTATGCTGCATCTGGGGCAACCCCAGATCTGCGTACAGACTGGGGGGCAGAGATAGATAGCTCTGCATAAGGGGGTCTGGGCATTCTGGTTGATGGCAAGCTCTACCTGAGCCAGCAGTGTGCACTGGAGCCAAAAGGGCCAACTGTACCCCAGAGGGCACCTGGCCCAGCACTGCTTTGCTCTGTATGACAGCGACAGGGCCGGAGGGAACTGAGCTGCGTCAGCAGAGGGGCAGCTCAGAGTTAGGGAAAGGGTCTGCACCACAGGGCTGTGGGCATGGAATGGGCTGCACAGGGCTGTGGGCACGCTCCCTGGTGCTGGAGTTGAAGGAGCATCTGGGCAGTGCTCTCAGATGTAGGATTTGAATTTTGGGTGGTGCTGGATGGAGCCTGGAGCTGGACTTTGTGATCCTTGTGGGTCCTTTCCAGCTTAGAGTACTCAGTGATTCTGTGTTTTACAGCAGATTGGACTCCTTAAACCTGACAATCCCCATTCCCTGCTAGCTGTGTGCAGTGACTCGTGCTCTGCTAAAACTGGACATGTGGGCCATGGTCCTCTTCATCCCAGGCCAGCTGCAGAAGCTCACATCGGCTGGCAGCCCAGGACAGTGGGGGAGCAATCAGGTCTCTGCTGAGGCTGCTGTCTCAAGCAGCTACGCAATGTCTGGTGAAGGCGCTAGGCAGGATACATAAAATACCTTGACAGGGGAAGGGAAGTGAACTTGAAAGAGCAGTTAGCCGCAGGGGCTGTTATCTGCCTCCCTGACCACTGCAGGACAGCCCTATGGAAGCAGGGAGATGGACTGCAGGCAGTGCTCTAGCTCTGCTATCTCTATCCAGCTTGCCCTCTCCCTTAGTACATTTGATTTCTGCAGGGGAGCCCTAGGGGCTCAGTGGCTCTGGCTCCAGCCCAGGTGGAGCAATCTCAAAGCAATCGGAGCTTGTGCTAGCCTTTACTGGTTCTGGCAGCATACAGGAGCCATTGTAAAAGCACAGTTAGCATTCAGCTTTGCATCACCCTGTGCTGTATTGCAGCTGCCTCTCATGTAGCCCCTGCTCAGCTGTCAGCCCGCACACAGTGGCACAGCTGCTGTTGGCACTGCTGTTGTTTGGGCTTAGCTGCAGGGACTGTGTGTATTGCAAGAAGTTTCAGGGTGGCAGAAATCTGGGCTATCACTGTGTAGACATAGAGAGCAACAACAGTCTGCAGCTCTCATTTCTGACACAAAGCTCTGCAGGCACCTTAAAGCCTCCCTAACCACCAGCAAAGGCATCTGAGCTGCCCAGCAAACAGGAGACTGTTTCCACGTGGGTTGCATTCTGGGGCTGGGGCAGTGGTCTCCAGCTACAGGCAGGTCAGGTCACCCCTCAAAGGTGCCCTAGGAATTGTCTCACACTGACCTTAAGCCTCATGAGCTGTCTTTGGGACATGAGCTATCCCCATAAGGTCCTTGCTTAGGAAGTGGGGAACCTGGGGTTCTCCCAAAAAGGAGAATTCCTCAAAGAGAGACAAATGCCCCTGGCTGTTGAGTGGAGGCAGATCTTCACTCCTGCTGCACTGGAAGAAATATTACAGTTATCAGGAAGGTCTTAGTGCGTCCTGGGCTTCAAAGGCATCAAGAATCATCTTCAGTTCTCACTTTGTGGAGTTATGTAACATTTAAAGACTTAATTATGTGAGTACAGAATACATGCACGAACTGGTTGAGGTGGGAAGGGGCCTCTGGAGATCACCTTGCCCAACCCCAGCTCCAGCAGGGACACACAGAGCAGGGTGCCCAGCCCCACATCTTGGGGTTTGGAGGTCTCCAAAGAGGAGAGCACACAAGCCCCGGGCAGCCTGTGCCAGGGCTCCATTATCCACACAACACAGCAGTGCTTTGTGATGGGCTCCTGCGTGTCTCCCTTTGCCACTGATTGTGGCACGTTTCACCACACGTCTTTCAGTTTGCAACAGAGCTGCTAGAGTAAATACAGTACAATAAGGTCGATCTGATTAGTTTTTACTTTTTTTCTGGACAAATATGGTCATTACTCAGGCAAAAACTCGCAGGAGATGTGATAATGTTTGTGTAACTGAAGGGAGCAAAGGGAGGCAGAGACACTATTCCTAAATATAAATACTTCAGTATTCCTTAATTTAATAAAAATCTTATACAAACTAGATTAAATTGAAAATACGGACTAGCCACTTAGCAGCAAGCCAAAATTAGTTGTTGTCCCCTCAGAGGAGTTCCTGAGATGCAGGGAAAACTGCAAAGCTCTCTGCTTGTTTTGAGAGCAGCTCTCCCAAAGCAGGTTTCAGCAGCAGCAACTCTGCTTGTTCCCACAGCACTGGTTTCACATTTGATTTCATTTACATTTTCAGAGCCATGACAAATGCCTCTTTTGACCTTCGTTATCAGTTCCTGGAACACAATATTATGACAGAAATAGGACCCCTTTCCCCTCTGCTCCCTTGAAAATGAGCTCTCAGGCTGAATATTCATGAGCTGAATTATACAGGAAATTGGGACATAGCCCCATCTCATGGCCCTGTTATCACGTTGTGAGAATGAGTCTCTGCTTCTCAGATGGGTGCGGCTGGCTGTCCCAGCCCAGGGGACGTGCGGCTGGCACTGCTGCCACCAGCCCTCTCAGGCCTGCAGCCCCACAGGAACCCGCATTCCCCATTTGCCCAGCACCTTGTCCCTCACTTCCCACCCCTCTGCCCATCGCAGCCCTTGGATGTCACTTCCCACCCACCCTCCTTGTGCCTGCCCAACTCCCCTCTTTGTGTTTAGCAGGGTGTCCGTATCCCACCCACACCCTGCTCCTCCTGGCTCTGTCCCTCCTGCTCGCCCCAGTGAGGGAGTCAGATTCTCCCTCTGTGGCTCCCAAAAGGAGCCAGGGGTGAGAAGCAGGGTACCCAGGGAGCTGCAGCATCTGAGAGAGGGGATGAGGGTCAGGAGGGTGCAGTGTGATATGGCTTGTCCCCAGCCTTCAAGAGGAGCCTAGAGGAGCTGAGCTGCTCTTGTTGGAGATGGGCTCCAATCTCAGTGAGACCTGAAGGCACTCCTTCTCCTGAAGGCACTAAAACCTGCATTGGGAAACATCTGGGCAATAACAACAGCAATCCTCATCCCAGCTAACCCCTTGTTACCTGTCCAGCCCTCGGTAGCCTCATGTAACCACATATGGCCATCAAATGTAATTTCTTTGTTTCACTTCTTTTTAGTGATGCTCTGGCTGGCATCTAGCAGACACGCAGTTATTACATTACAATTTTCACATAGTCATTTTGAGAAACCATCAGCTGGATTAGACCACAAAATATCCTCAGCCACGTGTTTCATGCTCAGGAGGAGCAGCTGACCCTGCTGGAGGCACGGGGCTCAGCACAGCTGGGCTCCTTCCTTACTTCTTGTCATTTCTGCTGACAAAGGTGAGGAGGTCCATCGCGGTGACCACTCCAAACACCATCTGTTTCATGAAGGAACTGCCATTTCCACTGACTGGAAGCACAGAAAACACCAGGTTAGTGGAGGAGAATTTAAGGAAAAAAGGAAGAAAAGAAAGAAGAATTTTAAAAGCCACAGCCGTGCAGATTGAGGCTGCTGTTCATTTTTTAAGAGAAAACCATAAGTGGGACAGCAGCTATCTCTGCCATACCTCAACTGAAATGACCAGGGCAGCCTCAACTCAGGTTACAGAGTTACATCAGGGAGGTTTAACTGCAAATAGTGCACTCTTATCAGAGCAGGACCCCTGACTTCCCCATTGCTTGTAGCCAGCCTCCATTCTGGTTCTGCTTCTATCGCTGCAAAACTTTTCAGGCTGAACTAATGAGACTCCTTAGAGCAGCAATGAGATTCTTTAGAGACGCTTCCTATTCTGCTCTAATAATGTCCTACACTACCATTAATAAAACAACATTGCAGCAATTACTTCAACTATCTGATGTTTTCCTAAAGGAAAATAAAACTAGCCACCAGTGTCCAAACACGAGGAAGAAGAACAAACTGTGAACATGTGGCAATAAGATACAAGGGGCTAACTGTGAGGGCATTAAAGCAGCAACACTGCTGAGAAAGGGAAGTCAGCCCAAATGTGTTTTTTGGTGAAAGAATTGAAACTGTGCACCAAAGGCAGATTTGAAAAAGAGGCTTTTGCTTGGCTGGGCTTGCAGGTGGCTTTGGAGCTGCAGGGGGATCTGCAGCAGGCCACAGGGATGCAAGCAGATGGATTGGGCAGCTGGCACACAGCAGGTTTGGGGCTCCCATTTCAACAGCAGCCTGCTGCTGGCAGTCAGTACAGCACAAATAGTGCACGCTGCTCACTCAGGAACACCTTGCATGCTCAGTGTGTAATCCCATAAAGTCAGTTTAATTGCAGCCTTCAGCTCTAGTGTCATGCTAAACATGGGTCTTCTGACTGTTTGGGTCTTTTTTTTATTTTGTGTTGCTATATTTTAAGCAAAGAACCTCCTCAAGACAAGGTCAAATTCGTACCTCTGCAAGTTTTATTGTACCAGAAAGATGTGTTAGGCCAGATTTGCAGAACTGCACCTACCACCATACCTGTTTCTGTCAGGGGAATAGCTGCTGCTATGCATGCTTTATTGGACTCATCAAATGGTTTTGCTTCACTGGCAGAGCATTCCTATACCCAACCTCAGTCCAGGAAGGACTTATAACAGGATGTCTGAAGGTATGGTGCTCACAGTCCAACATACCTCTTTTCAGCTTTCTTAACTTTCCCCAGCCCTCCAGGAAAGGTGTCTGATAGCACACAACCATGAGGGCCCTGTAAAGTGATTTTTTGGCTCAGGCCACTCAGGGCACATTGGCAGGAGAACATCCCTTGGCTGCATCCCTTGGGCTGGAAGTAGGAACAGAGGTGTTCAGAGCAGATGTCACAGCCTCTGTGCATACAGAGGTCTTTAAGCAGTGGGATGTAGACTGCATACTTTTTTCCCTTACACTTACATACCTGAATTCCACCTAAGACTTTTCGAACCTATTCAGACTCTCCTTTGCCCCTGTCCTCAGGCTACTAATTCTGCAGCTATCCCTCAGTTCCCTTGTTTCCTCTGTTGCCCACAACCAGCAAAGCAGTGATTTGAATCCAAGGCCAAGAGACTAAACGAGTACTAAAAGCCTGAGGCTACAGCTGCACAGCAAACACACCACACCCCAGATGCTACCTACAGTCTGCCTTGCTTGTCATGGGAGGAGACCAAGTGAACATGCTCCCACTTCCAAAGATGGGTTTCCATGGGAAACTATGAGATGAGGAGCTTCAGTGTTATTTTTTCACTGTGGAAACAACACAGATCCAAAGGGCAGGATCTGTGATATGCACCTGTGGGACACAGACAGTCACATCCTGGTTCCAGGCTCCACTGGGTAAGGTTTCCCTTTGTTCCCCTCATCCCTGCAGCATCAGGAAAGGAAATGGGTGAATAATTGGGCTATTTCAGCACTTTGCAGAACAAGATGCAACTCCTTCCTGCAAAGCCGCAGATACTGCACATGTGGAGCAGCTGCATTGATCTCTCTCAAGTTTGCTTTGGGGATTTCCGTCTCCCCTCTCAGACATTTGTGCAAAGCCCTGACAGTGCTTCCCCTTTTTACAGATACCTACACTGCATTTGCTCGTGCACGACAATAGCGAAGTGGTCATTCTCTAGGATGCAGGAAAGCTTCCCAAGGCTGTCCTCCAGGCTGATCTAAACAGGACAGAAAGAGACATTTTACAATTCACTTCACATTTACAGAACAGAGATGAGGAGCCTGCCTCCCACCTGTGATTGTAGCCAAGTGAGAAGAGTGGACCTTCCTTACTCACCAGTACCCTTTTTTGGGAGTGTCTGTTGGCTTTGGCACAACTAAAATACACTGCTGTCTCCCTCTCTGAAAGCCTCTGTGAGCCAGCATGAGCTACCTCCAGCACCAACCATATACCTCACTCTATCTCTGGACTGCTGATGGTCACCCCACCCAGGCATCCCTCCAGGTCGCACACAGGACCTGCCCAGTGTCCCTTCAGAGCCCATACCCACTGCCCAGACCTGTGAATGTCTGGGCTTTGCTCTCAGTGGGCACTGGCCAAATGTAAGAATGAGTGAGGACCTTCAAGTGCTTTGCTCCTGATGTAGAAGCTCCCGCATCTGAGCTCCACAGGGCTGGCAACATTTTTGCAGGTGTCTTCCCTGTTCTCATCTCCATGATGGTCACCCTCCCCATTTCTCTCCACATTCCCCTCTCTGCCCTTCTCTCCCAGTTGCTCTCACACCTGAGGGTAATGAAGCATCTCCTCCCCATCCCCAGACAGTAGAAGACAGCAGCCACAGCCTTAGCAGTACCTTAGAGAACTGGTCGTAGATTACTTTTGTAACGGGGTCTGAGAACTGTGCGCTTCCAGCCAGCACTGAGGTCAAGGTGTTACTGAGGGTCACCATCCCCAGAATAAGTCTGCAAAGGAACAGAGCTTTCCAGAAAGCCAGGCCTGAGGTCAAGCACACATCTTGTGAAGTCAGTGTCTAACTTCATGCTGCTGTGAGCAAGAAGCACCAGCTTTCTCCTCACTTGAGTTGGATCTTTAGTAGGCAGGGGTCCTATGGTGACAACCTCCTAGAATGACCTATCACAGAGAGTTGCCTTGATGAATTGTGTCTGTTTTTATTGTTAGCAAAAATAAAGGCTCTAAACTTTCCAGTTATTCTGTTCTAGGAAACACTGAGCTCATGAAATGCCTGAAGAATTTATGGGATAGAATGTCTCCAGATTTTGACCCATATGCTTATTCTTCACAAGGAGGCGGATGGCATTTTAAAAATGTGCATCTCAGAATTCAGCACAAGTGCTCTATCATTGGATAAGTAGATAGGACTTTCTTTTTAGCTTCATGGTGGCTGTTTTTCCTGTTGGAATGGCCATCTCTGTACCAAGTAAAAATAGTTACCCTGATTCAGCAACAACAGGAGCCTGGTCGTATCCCTTCTCCCGAAGGATTTCAATTGCCTTTTGACAGCTGACTTCTGGGAGAAGAATGAGAGGGGCTGAGAGATTCAGTTTCTGCACCTTGATGTTCCACCACCTGTTGAAAGACAAATGGCAGCACCAAGACATTACTCAATGCTGCATGGCTGCGGGATGTGCTCAGAGTGGCAAGGCCAGTAGAGATAAGGCCAACTGTGCAGAGATATTCTGTCTGCCTGCCTGCAAAGCTCATGCTTTAAGCCTGTAAGGAGAGGCTGACCAGGTTCCTCTCCATCACTCTCCTCAGTGTACCGGACAATGACTGTCACATAGGAGTAGAACAGCATCTTCAGAACAGAAATGTCTCCTTACTAGACTAATTGGAGAAAAGGGATATCTCATCACTGAGAATAGAGGAGCTGACTTTACAGCCTTCCGAGAGGGATCTGGAGTTAATTGCATTTTTTTAAAACACTAGATGATAAAGCTTTCCTTTGAAAATAATGATTCCCAGACTCAGAAGGCTGTTACCCTTAGCACAGTTCATACTGGTGGAAGTTGTCTTACCAAGGCTTGTGCTCCTGGACGTCATTTAGGAATCCGTTTTTTATCATCCATTTATCGTTCAAGAACTTGGACCTAGAAATCAACAAAAAAGAACAGGTCTGTGAATCTTCCACAAGCAGTCGTGCTCTGCTCCATGCATTAGACCACAGCACTGCCTCAGGGTTCCCATGATTTTTGCAGCTGGCTGCTTTTAGCCCCTTTTAAGGTCACTGGGAGCTGCAGGTGCTCAGTGACTCCTCCAAGCGCGCCAGCTATTTGCGTTCCTAACTCGAGGCATGCAAGTTCAAAAACTTTAGCTTGACTGATTCCTGCTCCGTGCAGTAAGGCAACGACAAGAGGAAATAAAACCCAAGTGGCCCAACAGCCAGCCCGTGCTGTTTATCGCTGCATTGTGTTGTTTCTTCATGTCATTTTATTTCCTGTGAGTTGTTTGAGGGGAAGTGGGAAACTCACATGTAGTTCCTGACAGAGTCAGGCAGGATGACGACACAGCGCTGACCATCCTTCAGGTCCTTGGCAGCCTGCACGGCGACTGACATGGCACTGCCTGAGCTGCCACCTGATGGGTACCAAGAAGAGAGAGACAAGCACTGGGAGGGAAATAGCCTCATAGGGTAGGAAGAGACCGAGCAGGGACTGATAGGACATGTTCCTAGGATGTCTTGTGGCAAAAGGCTTATGAGGCAGCAAGAAGAGTTCCCCTACGAACCTTATAAATCACCTCCTGTGATTCCTTCTGGCCAAAGGCTGAAAGGTTCAATATGGGGACATTCATATCACTGCTGCCCATATCACACCCTTTCTTTGGGTGAGGAGAACACTATGCCAAATCAAGGCCTCCTGGTGAAAGCGTTTGTCAATCAAAGATTTGCTTTAAATGCATGGTAAAGATTGGGAAGAAAAAAAAGCCAAAACATAAACATTACACTCATGCTTGGAATACCAGGCCGACGTGATGGAAAGACCTGAACAGTGTGTGTGTGTGTGTGCATGTGGTTTGCTGCACGTAGGAGAAGCAGGTCACTGCTTTACAGAGGCAATTTCTCCGTGGGTAGTTTGAGTACTGGAAGTCAAAGTCATTCCACTATCTGTGTGCCCATTACACACCACGCTCAAGGCAGCACGTAGTTTACTGCAGGTTAATTAGCACTGGGTCACATTTTTCAAACTAATGGTGAAAGTCTCTGAAGTAATGCAATTCTAGCTAGCAATGAAGCTATTCAGAATTTATAGACAAGTTCAGCAAGTGGTTTCCATTGAAACATAGTGACTTTGTCTCTGCTAAGTTAAATCAACGTAACAAATAGCTTGATCTCTCTCAAGGCTCCTGGGATGCGAGCGCTCATCCAGCTGTAACTACAAGCCTCTATATCGTCTGGTCCCGGGTGCAAAGCTATAGCTATGTACTCAGGGACACGCAAGGCTGAAAAATGCTGATGCTATGTAAGGGCCCATAGAGTACAGGCAGGGTTTGCCTGAGGACATCTATTCACTTTGGGAAGCCCTAAGGATCACTTCCAGTTTGTTGGCATGAGAAGAAATACTCAATAAGAACATCTTACACTTTACTTTCAAACTTTCCTAGTCCAAACCTGGAACCTCTAGTATGGCAGTAGTTCAAAGACAAAGATTATAGCCTCACACATTTGGTAGCAGAGGGACAGTTTTAGTCCACCTGTCCTATCCTGAATCCCAGTAATCCTTCTCTTCAGCCCATGTAACACTACACCAGGCAAAATTAGGCCAGAAGATCCATGTGCAAAAGCGTTACAGCAAGCGGAGAGTTACTGCTTCTATAATTATTGTTGAAGATGAGCCAGATCCCAGACCAATGACTCTCTGCAATACCTTTAACATCTACAGAGATCTACATAATAGCCATTCAACCTCATTAACCTAGCAGACACAAAATGCAGAGTGCACCTACCTTCGGAATTGCTTTGATCCCAAAGCAATTAAAAGATGAGGTTGAAAAAGTTTGTTAAGAGAAGCAGCTGCTGTCATTGATGCTTACCACACAACAATCCTTCCTCTCTAATCAGCCTGCGAGACATGAGGAACGAATCCCTGTCATTGCATTTATACCATTGATCAACCACCTGAAGAGAAAGCAACATGGTCAGTTCCTGGAGGAGATTTTTCAGGCTGCCCCAGCTGTCTGACATCTGCCATGGTGCTGATTTCTACAGCACCTGGTAGCTTTGAGCCGCTTTCCACACTTGATGAAAACAAATGCATTTATCAGAGCACCCCGAGTCCTTGTTTGTGAGCACCCCTCTAGCCTTTCCAGCCAGAACCCTTTCCTTGGAGAATGGAAGACTGTCTGATAGGTCCAGAGTCAGGATGAGGGACAGAAAATGGTGGAAGTAGGTTGGATGCAAAGACAAAGATCACTTAGAGGCCTCTCATCACACAGGCACTTACTGATCTGTCCAGGACAGTGGGGATAAAGTCATGCCCAATGCCCTCCACCTCTACGGTTGTGTTGTTCGTCCTGTTCAATTCACTGGGCAGAGCGACAATGGAGCCTTCAGGGTCTACACCAATTATCTACAAGGGAAGGAAATATTTTTAACCATAAAAGGAGTTCAAAAATAACATCTCAAAGAAAAAAATACCCACACCTTTATCAGTGACATTTTTCTTCCCAGTATATTCATTAATATTACTATCCACTGTCTCCCAGCTTACTTTGCACTCTGGGCACTTCTCCTTCAACTTCCTCGCAACACCAGTGACGGTGCCCCCTGTGCCGGACCCAATCACCACCATGTGGACCTTGCCTGCAAGTCAGAGAAGAGAGAGGCTCATAGGGACTCAGCCTGGCCACAGCAGTGTCTTTCTTTTGTCCAAGTCCCGTGTCCATCAGCTGCTACAATTCTGCATGTGGTAAGGCAGGGTTCATGCTAACAGGCGTGGTGAGGAGCTTGGAGGAACTAGTTGGATTTGACCACAACCGGTCCCTCCTCAGCATAGGAGGCTGAGGATGACCTCCAGATTTCCCACTGATTGTCATAGTTTCTTCACAGTTGGCATCTACTGGTTTAACGGGGAGGGAAGATCTCAGCACCTCCAGCCCTCTCAGGCTGCACTACATTGGATCACAGCGTGCATGTGAATAATGGTCACACACATCAGCAGGAGAGACAGCTTGTCAGATAGCGTTAGTACCCAGGGAGTTTGGTGGTACCAGTGTCAGTCAGATGTAGTGTCACTGATTTTGGAGAAATTATAGTGATTCAGGACTTGTAGGAGCAGAATCTGTGCCAGGCCTTCAGAGCCCTATGATGCAACTACACTGGGGCAAAAGGACTTGCAGTTCACTACTGGCTGCCAGCAGGAGCAAATCTAAATGTAATGGAAGGAAGGCTGAGATTCTCGTTTCTGCTGCTACCTGACTACAGTGCTATTACGATATCTGCCCTCCAGACAAAACCCCTGAATCTTGTTCACCTTTTGCACTGCTCCCAGTACTGGCAATAAATTTCACTTCTATCTGTACAGGCATGGGCTGAGATACTTCTTCATCCTCCCCTGGCTGTCACATCAAACGTCATTAGTTTGTTAAGTTGCAGTCTGATTTGATTTGCAAATGAGATTTCAGGATCTGATGCAACCCTCCATGCCCTGATGGATGTGTCTCCTCCAGTGAGGACTCCTGAGCCACCCTGTGCTCTCAGGTCACCTAGGTGCTGTATCAGCCAAGAGATGGCTCTTCCTGCTTCAGGAGAGCCAGGTTTAGTTCACTGTTATGTCTTTTCCCTCAGGCTTTTGAAATCAGAGGCCATAACAGGGAAGACGTGCAGGCTTAGGTGGATCTGGAGTGGGTCATGTGAAGTTGCTACACTCTACGTGTCAGTGTTATCAAGGATATCTTCCCTTACAAAGGCCCTCTTGGCCACTTCTATACCTTTCACTCAATAAACTATGTAAAACAGGCCTCTCACAGAGGGCTGTAATCCTGCACACATCTTCAGCATGGAGAAATAATGGTACAAATGGTACCTTCACACTGCTCCAGGATCTCCTCAGCGGTGGTGTCGTAATGAGCCAGAGGGTTGCTTGGATTTCGGTACTGTTTATTTCAACAGAGAACAGCATGAGTTATGGGGTAAAGCATAGGTCAAATACCGAACTAGCAATAGCTCCTGATGAGCCTTGCTCAAAACATCCAGCTGCCCCTCTCCCCTCTCTGGCAGCCTCTCAACGGCTGCCAGGTCACAGGTGTTCCTCCTGTTTGTTACCTCTGGACAGGTTTCTAAGAACACTTAGAACTTGTCCACACTGGAAGCCTAAATACTGGCAGCCTGTGAACACTCACTATCTGGTGTGTGATCCCTGTGGTGTGAGGACAGCGTGACTGTCCCCCACTCTGCACTGCCAGGTTTTGTGGTTTTGTTGATGTCTTTGCTGTTGTGGTTTTGTTGATGTCTCTGCAGCAGTTCCTCAGCATTGCAGATGGCTGTTATTAACCTTTCCTGTTGCCTAGAAAAAGCTGAAAACACAGCCCTACAATACTGCTGAAGTGATCAGAAAATAATTAAAAAATACCCCATCCCTCTCAAATATCCTATTCAATTCTTTCTTCAGGATTCTTTCCTGCAGTGGGGTCTAACCAGAAGGAGAAGTACCCCCCTGTACAAGAGTCAGTGCTTTAGGAACTTCTGCTGTGAATCATCAGGCTTTGCCCTTTGCAGCATGATGTTTATTTCTGAGGCAGGAATGAGGCTGCTAGGTTGGTGTAAAAAGTGATTTTCAGGTCAAAGGTAAACCTGAAGCAACATGAGGAGCCTTTCAAGTGGGCAAGAAAACCCAGTCTCCCCCACCTCCCAGTGCTGGCAGAAGTGTTACAGGTTTGGAGGTGTCCCCGATTTTGTTTCTGCCACTGCTCTGTAAAGCAGATTATGTTTCATGTGCCATAAAATGGTAATTCCACAGTGGTGAAATCTGCCTCCCTTGCCAGTTTGACCAAAGGCCCCAGCTGCAGGCCGACTTGGAGCATTGCTCTATGAGCTGTGTTTGGGAAGCGAGTTCGTGAAAGAGCTGTGTTTACCTGGTCCAGAATGTGAGAGTTTGGGATTTCATTTTTCAGCTTCCAGGCGACACGAATGTTAGACTCTGGAGCATCAAAACGGGTGCATGGGGTCCTCACAATTTCAACACCCAGTGCCTTCAAAATATCAACCTTTTGGAGGGAAGAAAGGAGATGTAAGGCAACCAGTCCCATGCAGTGCTGGTAATTTGAGCCCAAGTATTCATGCCAGCGTCAGATATCAGAGAAGCTTTGCATGCAGGAGACATTTAACATTTGGAGATACAATGTCCAGTTCTTGGTTATGCTATCTTTGACATCCTTCTGGCACCAAGAGCCTCCTGCCTGCAGCTGACACATGGGTTCAAGCTTGGCTTTGTGCCTTGTCCTACTTGGGAACAGTCTGGGGACACAGAGGAGGTAGGTAACACTGTGCCATTCTGTGGCACATGGGAGAGGAAGCAGGGTAGAGAATAGTGCCTGGAAAGCAGCTTTTGTATGTGTTGTGGGTTGAGACCCTGCATGCAAAGAGGAGCTCAAAGCTGTCTTTGCCCCAAGATCCCTTGTGGGAAAGAGCAACTACCATCAATCCTGGGATATTAATCCATTGGGAGGTGCAGCTGTCAGAGGAAGAGGGGGTCAAAGGAGGAGGGTGGGCGCATGCCACTGCTCCTGGAGGTGAAGCTCATGGCAGCTGGATGTGGCATCTGATCCAGACTGAGCTTAAGTGAGATTTATGTTAAAATGAATGGTACTTTGGGGAAGTAGAGAGCTGAGTTTAGAGCAAAGTCAGGGTCCAGATCAGGCTTCATTAACATGAATTCACAGTGGAAGGAAGGGATGCCATTCAGAGGGACCTCGACAGACTTGATAGGTGGGCCCAGGTGAACCTAATGAGGTTCAACACAGCAAAGTGCAAGGTTTTGCACTTGGGCCAAAGGAATCCCAGACATCCATATAGACTGGAAGGAGCGGTCCTTGAGAGCAGCCCTGCAGAGAAGGACCTGGGAGCCCTGATGGATGAAAAACTTCACATGAGCCAGCAGTGTGCTCTTGCAGCTCAGAAAGCAAATGGTATCCTGGGCTCCATCAGAAGAGGGGTGGCCAGCTGGAACAGGGAGGTGATTGTCCCTCTTTACTCTGCTCTTGTGAGGCCCCATCTGGAGTTCTGTGTCCAGGTCTGGAGCCCCCAGTACAAAAAAGACAGGCAGCTGTTGGAGAGGGTCCAGAGGAGAGCCACAAAGGTGATCAGGGGTCTGGAGCACCTCCCCTACGAAGACAGGCTGAGGGAGCTGAGCTTGTTCAGCCTGGAGAAAAGAAGGCTGTGGGGTGACCTCACTGCAGCCTTTCAGTACCTAAAGGGGGCCTCCTTGACTCCTTGACTCCTACAGGAGGGGAGTCAACTCTTTGAAAGGGTAGATAAGAGCAGGACAAGGAGAAATGGTTTTAAGTTGAGGGAGGAAAGATTTAGGTTGGATGTCGGGGGGAAGTTGTTTACTATGAGAATGGTGAGGTGCTGGCACAGGCTGCCCAGAGAGGTTGTGGATGCCCCATCCCTGGAGGTGTTCAAGGCCAGGTTGGATGGGCAGCCTGGTCTAGTATTAAATGGGGATGTTGGTGGCCCTGCCTGTGGCAGGGGGTTGGAGATTCATGATCCTTGAGGTCCCTTCCAACCCTGGCCATTCTGTGATTCTGTGATTCAGCTAACTGTTCATGGGCCCAAGGTGGAGATTTCCACCATCCCCAGGGCACCATCGCTTGTGTAAGTAACTTGGTTCAAAGAACATTCAGTGTCTCCAGGTTAAAGGAAATCATACCGAGATGGAGAAAGCAAGTGACTAGACAGACACTGGAAAGAAATACAGCAGGGTATATCAGCAGCCCCAGCACCCAACATGCCTCTCCTCTGCTTCCTCCAGCCCCCACATCTCTACAAACACCATGTTCAGCTAACACATGACACAAGCTGCGTCACTGACACTACATAGTTAGATCATTGCAGGATGCTTTTTTTGTCAAGAGGAAATCTTCTGAACTGCTACAGATATATGCCATATCTGCAGAGAAGCTCATTGCCCTCTAAAGGAGAGAACGGTCTATCTTTTGACGGGAAAAGGCAGATGAAGACAGAGAGAGAGAGATGTTCCCAGGCTGTGGGTAATACCATACAGAGGTCTGACCTTCTCCATGCTCATTTTCTCCGGCAAGACAGTGATGCAGCGGTAGCCTTTCACTGCAGCTACCAGAGCCAGCCCGATTCCTAGGTGGTGAGGAGGAAAGCAGATCATTCAACAACAGCATTTGGCAAAGCCAACCAGCACACATTCTCTTCTCCTTCCAGCATGCCTCTCTCCCACTGGGTTGTGAACACTACCCAGACATTTTCACTGCAAAGCTGCATGTGAGAGCATGCATCTCTTCTGTGAGCCCTCTAGGACACACTCAGAGCACCATGAGGATGTTTTAACATGGGACATGATCTGTGATAACACTGGTGTGGCATAAAGTGCTTGGTAAGGCTGGAGAATACTTTCCTCCTGATACAAAGCCTAGCCTAGTTTCCTTTCTCGTTCCATAGCACAGGAGAGAGGTGATTTTTTTCAGGAGTACCTCACCCTCAAACGCTCTCAGTCATGCTCTGGGGGGGGGAAGGGGTGTGAAGCTGCATATCTCACCCTATGGCCAGCAGGCCAAGGGGATCTGCATGCCAGTGTCACTGTTGTGATGGATGGAGCCAGCTGCTCCCCAGCCAGATGGGGCAGCAGGAGCAGTGTGTCCCCAATGGGAGGGCACAGCAGCAGCTGCAGGGACATGGTGCTGCCCCACAAGCAGCAGTGGGAGCTGCGCATGGATGTGGAAACATTCACAGAAGGTTTGTACAGGATGGACAGTGTGGGGAGACTCCCCTGCTGTCTCCCACCATAATCTAGTGCCTGAGTGGCATGATGGTGACAAGGAGAAAAAAAAAAAGATTTGTCTCCAGCCCATCAGGAAAAGCCTCTTCAGGAATCTCTGAATATTCAAGCCCCAGGTTCTCCAGCTCCTCAGGCTATCTGCATCACCTCCATGCCTGCACAGAGATCCAGAGGCACTCAGGAATTTCAGCAGTGAGTCTGCCAGGAGAGAGGGAGGGAGGGAGGGGAACGGAGGTGAGGACCGAGCGGGTGCCACAAGCTAACCATGCTACCTGTGTTCCCCGAAGTGGGCTCAATCAGCGTGTCTCCCGGTTTTATAATCCCCGCTCTCTCTGCGTCTTCCACCATCCTCAGGCTGATGCGGTCCTTCACGCTGCCTCCTGCGTTGAAGTACTCGCATTTTGCCACTGGAAATCAAAGGTGAAGCTCCCTCAGGGACAGGGTGGGCTCATAGCACTGCACCACAGCCCCCAGCTCCCAAAGTCCTCGCCGCTATCACAGACATCCTCAATAACATAGAGATTACAAGGTAATTGCATCTGACCTTAACTGCTTCCTTAATGCTGCAGGCTGCAAGCCTTTGTCTTTTTTGCTGGGTAAGAGGCTCTGTGTCGACACACAGCTCAGGAACATACAGCTGCTGAGTGTCCTGTTCCCCTTCTTGTATCCAAGAAACATATAGGACACAGTCAGTGGGCATGGTGGTGGTGATGGGATGACGGCTGGACTAGATGACCTTAGTAGTCTTTTCCAACCTTAATGATTCTATGATTCCCTTGCTGTACCATGGGAGGGAGACAGCATCCCAGCAAATGGGATTCTGCCTCACTCTGCAGCTTGCCTGGTGCCGTCTGTACCAAATCCTCCCAAACAAGGAGGAAGGCCCCACTGTTCTGCTTCCAGCTGCACTTTGAGAAGGTCCCCAGTGGGAAACAGAAATTCCCGGAGGCAGAGACCCAGAAATGTGCAGCTCCAGCTCAGCCTGCAGGGGTGGTGCAGCAGGACGATGACTGCCCCATAAACTAATAACCAGGAGTACCCAACATGTGCCACATGTGGCCGTTCCATCTCTTCTTGCTCTCCATACAGTCTCTTCTGAAGCCCCCTCTGCCACTGCCCCTCAACCTCACACCTCATGGCCCAGAAAAACCTGGTGGAAAGGGGAAACTCACAGAGCTCACACTTGAGCCCATAGGACTTCCCAATCTTGTTGACTCGGACCATGGGGGTGCTGCCAATTTTCTTCAAGATGTTGGGTAAAATCTTTGTTTCTTCTGATCTGTATTAATGGAGGGGGAAAAAAAGAAAAGTCAAATCAGAGCAACCATTACACAATATGAACCAAGCAAGATAAAACCTGAATAAGGTTCCAGCAAGATCTATAAGAGACAAGCCAGCACCAAGAGAAAATGAATCTATCAAGTAATGGCAAGAAGAGTTAGTTGTGGTCTTTCACCACTCTTACCTTGAGTTAATTATTTCTTTTCACAAAAAATAATGTAGTCTAAATGTAGTAATTTTCTGAAATTACTTGTTCTATAAGGAGCAATTTATAACTATGTGAAGTTAGGAGAGCAAACAAGCCTCAAGATTATACAGAGCCCACAGAAAGCCATGCACAATCCAGACCGTTTCCTCTTTCTCCATCCTATTCAATTCAACCTCTTCTTTTTACATTTTCAGCCATCCCTGAACAACCTTTTTCTTGCCTTGCTCCTGTACTTGCAAGGATAGCTCCAAGCCATCAGAAAGGTCCAGATGCTCCAAGGCACCTCAGTCTCGGACTGACAAGAGAGGGCTCTCTCAGCAGTGTCAATTGATTGCCAGATTTCAGGGTGTGAATGACCACCACCTGCTTTGGAGTTTTATGCCCTTGAAGTGATACTTGTGATGAGTTGTCTGAATTTTATGCATGAACCTGGCAACATTTTCAACCAAGGGCTAAGAGTCACCATCTTTGTTTGCCAGCATGTGCCCTGAGTAAAGAAATGTAATGTCAGTCAGGATGCTTTTCCTTCTCAGATCTACAGAACCCTGCATCAGTGGGCTCTCACACAGCTATGCTCTTGTAGAAAGTACAACAAAATTGATATATCCCAGCTTCACCTGTGACAAGTTAGCAGTGCACCTTTTTTTTCAGAGCAGCCTTATTATGCAGCTCAGAGCTTCCTCACACTCCTGTGTGTTGAGTGAATTCTGCCATGAAGGAGAGAACTCTGGAGTTTTTTAACAAATAATTAAACTGAGCTCTTGGGTCAGGGCAATTCAGCCTTGTGGTTTTGCTAGGCTCTGTCAGCCTCTTAGCAGAAGCCAAGAAACACGTCACAGTAATAGCAACTAAGATGTAGAAAAGTTGTTTGTCCAACACATAGCTGAATGCATCTTGCTATGCAAACAGGGAAATGCTGTCCTTGAACTTTTTAAAAGGAAGAAAAAGGTTGATGAGGGCTGTGTTTATTGGGGCCACAAACGTATTGCCCCTGGTTGATAGTCAACATGTCTCTCTAAATGGGGTGACAAACCCCTACCCCCTCACCATTCAGCACAGTTCTCGCCTATCATCCTTTGAACCTTGAACCCAAGTTATCCTTGTGTGTTATTGCAGCCATGCAGGCAGGATGGCTGTCTGCTGACAGAAAGTCCATCTGGTACAAGATGACACACTGGTTTACTTAAAGTCACACACCTCCCTGCAAGTTTTGCAAGCATGATAAATACACTTCTTGGAAGAGTACAGGGTAATGTTTTATTGGAGGCATTTACTGCCAAAAGCAGCCCCACTTCTTACATGTCAAGTTTAGGAATTATGGTGTATTACACACGTGCTGTTAACTCTCACTCCATGGAAAGTGTTACTGTGCACATCACAACATCTACTGTGTGCTGGTAAATGCGAGGCAGTAACTCAACAAATGAGTTTTCCCCACAGCTTCGCCGTTTTCCATCTGCCATAAGGCCTCTGAAATGCTCACCTCTTTCAGAGAAGCTGAGACACAGTGTGAGGAGACTCCAGCTCCCTCAGGTGGCCTTTAGCCTTCCATGAGAGTGACCTGAGAGCTACACTACACATCTAGACTGTAGGAAGTCAGTTTGAGAGTAGAAAGCAAGGTTATTTATCTACCATACCCAGTGATTGTGGTAAATGAGATGTTTCCATGCTACATGCACTCCAGCAAGGCAACCACAGTGTGCACTCCCCCAAAAGGAGATCTTGTTTCTTATTGTGGAGCAAGGCACCAAATTTTCAGCAGTTCTCATCAAGTTACTTTTCTAATCACTACCGTATTTTACTACAAAAATAATGCTAGCACAGTCAGCTTCCTTTGTCAGCCATGTGAGCCCTGTGCATGTGCCCAAAGGAAGCAGGTCTGTGGATGTCAAGATCTGTAGAAATGTCTTTGGTGCTCCTAAAGTATGTGGTGGGGATGTTCTTGTCCTGTAGCAGTTGTTATAGGTGTGGGGATGTTCTTGTCTTGTACCAGTTGTTATAGGCTCAGGATAGCAGTGAACAAGGATGTTTTTTTCTCCAGCATTTCTACTTTTACTCATGACATGTTATTTAATAAGAGGTCCAAAGGAAAAGCAGGCCAGGTTATAGCAGATCAGAACTGGATTAAAGACTATCAGAACTAGTCTATCTCTGTATTTCAGGGAAAATGTAATTAATATCCTTAACTAAAATAACATTTTGCCTTCTTTCCCTGATACTATCCCTTTCAGCCCCAAAACTCAGCTAGGTTTCATCTCAGAAAGTTCAGTGCATTTCTCCTATTCGCTGCCATCTATAGTTCACGCAGAGCAGGGAAAACAACCAGCTCATTCCACATGCTTCTGCAAAGTAAAATGTTGTGGTTGTCCCAGTGCTGTGTGATTCGTGTGCATTTTCATCAGTGCTATGCAGGGGCTGTGTTTCATGCCCTGAATCAGTGATGCCATGTGGGCCCCAGGTGGGCTCCAGGCCAGCAGTGCTACACCTCTCACAGGCTCTGGTTCCTCACATGCTGGATTTGAATTAGCGCTCTGGCACAGCAGAGATGTGTCTTCAGTTTCCCTGACATTTATAGGACAGCCTTATCTTTAATAGCCTGTCTGCGTTTAGTTTGCAGGGCCATTAAAGCACTTCTCGTCTAGTCACTTTGGCAGGCTTACCTCACCCTGGGAGGAAATCTGCTGCTCAGAGGACAGAACAGCCTCAGAGTGGTCACCTCACCTTGCACTGAGCTCTTCGGTCACTTACAAAGAGTGGGCAACCTCTGTATGTGTCATTTCCTTCTTTTTTAAAAGCCCAAGCCATAGTAATCAATTTTTACGAAGCATTCTAGTCATTGGTAGAGACTTTGCTAATATTCAAACAGTCTTACACGCTGCTTCAGACTGTCTGAATGAACAAGGGTAGCTGAATGGTATCCCTCCACTGATGAATGCATGGCAGTCACTGACTGCAGTGTAAAAAGGGATGAGTGTGACAGCAGTATGTTACAACTGGGAGCACCATCTACACATGCTTAGCAGTTGGGAGTGCCTTCACTTCTGCTGCTCAACACCAGACCTCACACAGTCCATTTTGCAGAAGCGCGCAAATCCCTGATTGAAATCTACCTCTGCAATATGTTCACCTTAGCTCTTCTAAAGTGATGCCTCAAACTAGCACATTCTTCCAAGTGTGTGCTGAAAAACATTGAGATGAGTTTTGAGCCACCAAATCTTTCTGCAGGACTGAATGGACTGAGAAATTCTAGATGTGGCACCGAGGGATGTGGTCAGTGGGCATGGTGGGGGTGGGCTGGTGGTCTTAGTGGTCTTTTCCTACCTTAATGATTCTATGATTTTGTACTCGGTGGGTTTTGCCTTCAGGGGAAAAAAAACACATGATCAAGGTAAAATATTGTCCAGCTACAGACTTCTGGTCACTACCGTTCTGGTGTAACAACAGGGTTTCCTCTTCAGAAGAGATTGACCTTCCTGTACTCTGAAATAACAAGCGTGAAAGAATTACTTACAAGGGTATACAGGTGTGTGGAGACTTGTTGGCAGGCGTTGCAGCTGTCCACGTGCACTTACTGGGCAAGTTGGGAAGAATCCATGTGCTGTCGCCTTTGCTTTCCTGACTTCCCAAGCAGCTGCCTTTCATGAGCAGGCATGCTTTGGTTGCCTCCTGTATAGTGGAACAGAGTACACAGTCATCTGGGAAGAAAAGCATGGCAGGCAGGCACCCATGTAATAACTGCCAAAGGTGAGAAATTACATTCACATTTGGGTATGGAAGCAGGATGGGAGCCCACTTGGGGCATCCCTACTGGCTTTCCAAAAACTTAATTCTGCAGATGAGTTAAACTGTGGAAATTGCTCTTTTGTCACATGTACATATTCTGGTGGATCTGGAGAAGGAGTCTGAGAAACAATTTTTGGGTTGGATGTTAAGAAAAAAAAATCTATTCTCAGAAAGAGTGGTAAGGCAGTGGCACAGGCTGCCCAGGGAGGTGGTGCAGTCACCGTCCCTGGAGGTGTTCAAGAGCCGTGTGGATGTGGCACTGAGGGACGTGGGCAGTGGGCATGGTGGGATTGGGCTGGTGGTTGGACTGTATGGTCTTAGTGATCTTTTCCGACCTTAGTGATTGTATGACTCCACAGTTCTATTTCACAGCATTGAAGAATAAGGCAAATGAAATAATCAGAAACAGCTATAGGAGCAGACATGTTAACATGGAACCAAAAAAGGGTTAGATAAGTTCCCAGAGATAAAATTCATTAGTGGTTCTTAAATACAGTGTTCTTAATGGTACTCTAGGAACACTCTAAATACAGAGAAAAGGTCAAGTTTAGTTTTATTCTCAGTGTTTGCTATAATTTCTGGTATTCTGACCAGTACTAGAAACAGGATAAACAGTTACATGAAGTTTTCATGTGACTCTTTATGGTGTGACCATCCATGGAGTGATCATCTATGCAGTTCATCAGCCATTTTGGGGGGACTAAGAAAAACATCCATACTGAGAAAATAAATGTTTTGGTAATTGGAAATTTGTCCTCTGGCTTGTGCACACAATGAATTGGTCCTTATTCAGCCCTTGCTGAATAAAGGGAAATAAAGGGACTTTGAAGCTCAGTAGGGTTGTGTTTGGAGACTTGCACCCAGGCTTTGTAGTGCCTACAAAGCCCTGCTGACTCACAACAGTCAAGCAAGCAGCCAGAATACTATTATGGATGAGTCACGATTATCTAAATAACTTGTGGCCCAACATACGAGCCCAAGGGCAGCCTTAATTACCATTTCTGCCATCCTCCTTCTGCTCACTGGTTTCACCCACTTGCAGTCACTTCTTTGACTGTTTGAATTCAGCACTGTGCTTTTCCAGTGGCTTCTCCACCAGCCAGGTGTATGGGGCTGGGGTTCACTCTGTGCGGGCGTCCCTGAAACACAGAAACGTAACAGATTTCAGCCAGAGGCTAGAACTTCTCTGAAGGAGAAGGTCAATAAATGCATGTTGCTGCCCGGCCCTGCCACCCCAGCTTCAAGAAGAGCACCAGGCATGGTGACTTGGGTGATAAAAATGAACTGTGGAGCCTGGCAGCAACAAAGGCCCAGCTCTGTACCTGAGTTGTGCTCCTGTGCCTTCAAAAATCAGCTCTTTGGGATACCTGAGAGTCTGCATGGCATGGTCAAATGTGAGCCAAGACTCCAGGCAGCTCTGTCACTTCCTAGTGGTTCAGGCAGAAGACACAGTGCCACTATATGCCAAGTAACCAGCTAGCTGCAATGCAACTGGAAGTAGACACATGAAGAAAACTTGGGTACACAGAGCTTCCCCTGAGCATGTTTGACGTTTTTTGTTCTCAGAAGAAAAGAAAGCCTCTGGAAGAACCTAGAACCCTGCAGCCAGTCACTGAGCAGCCACCCCTCTTCCTAAGGCAGCCAGGTGGCACATACTGCAGCCCAAAAGACAGCAAGAGACCATGAGTGTGCGGAGCAATCAGACCAAAATGACCTGGATGATGCAGATGGTCTGATTAAAAACTCTCCTTGCAAACTTTGCTTCTCTGTGCTACACCCAACCACCACCAAACCTGTTGCTTCTTGGGAGAGATTAAAGGGGAAAAAATACGTTTTCTTGCAAGCTAGGATTTGTGTCAGCCTTGAGAATGTCTCCCCAAGCAAATCCTTATTTACCTAATGCATTAACTGAGAAGGAGCAAAAGTCATTTGTGGGTAAAGCACAGATAAACTGCTTATCACTGTTTACCAACTAAAACATTGGAAGTAAGATTTTACTAGCATTTTTTTTTTCTTTTATGCCCATCTTCACCATTTTGTGGCGGGGCAGAGAGAGGCTGAAACTTTTAGCTGCTACAAAGCAGTGTGAGGGTTTCTTCTGTGGGTCCTTTTCCTCTGATCTCCTGACCTTGGTGGGTGCTGGCCCATGGGAGGCTGGGCAGTGGCTAACCAGGTGTACTGTAGGCCCATCTCCATTCCAGCAGGCCGGTGTGCTGGGCCCTTCTCTCAGTGAGTCAAGGATAGGAGATTTGAGGGGTCACTTGGAAGAGAAATGCTGCCTTCTGGCCCTGGGTGATGTGTTCGTGAGAAGAGCTCATGGCCATCTTCAGGCACTGTCTCTAGGTCACCCTTAAATCCTTCCCTAGAGGCACACCAGCCAATCCCCCCTCAGGCCACTGGGCTTCATTACACAGGGGTGCTTACACTGACGAACCTTGCACCATAGAGAGCCAAGCTCCAGCTCCAGCTCCAGCTGACCTATGCAGAGGCTGGTCCACACGGTCTTACATGCCTAAGCATCCCAATGCAGACCTTTCCTGGAGCTGGAGTCTCCTTGACCAGGCTCCAAAGAGTGCAACTCTTTGGCCAGCTGCCAGTCTGCCCTGGCTTCAACTTGCGCCTCTTTGCCCTTGAGGCAGCTGAGCACAGCCATGGGCTGACACTGAGCTGTAGGGATCACCAGAGAGGACCTGCTGCTACTGCCTCCCTCCATGCAGGCATACAATCCAGGTTTGCACATCCAGTTTAAGTGGTTGGTCCCAGAGACTTTATGTTTCACCTGACCATGTGAGGAGCCAATATCACCCATAATATCACTGATTCGGATGTAGGTGCCCTAGGCCAAGGCAGGTGACCTCCTCAGCTGCCCTTCTACCCCACTGGACAGCAACCTGGGACCTGTAGCCTTTCAGCTCCTTACCACAAGAAGTGCCACAAGCCCCAGGGTCGCTGCTAAGACCAGCTAAGCCTGCCCTAAAACTGACCCTCAGAGACTACATGGTGTGCTGAGATGCCAAGTACAGAATCACGTGGAGGGAAAAGCATTACACTTTTTAAACTAAGGTCATTTGGCTCATTATGTTCAGCTCCCTTAACATCCTGAAAGAAAACACAAGGAATGGGATTTCCATTTATTCAGACACCCAGAGTAGAGTGGGATGTATTTTCTAGCTGACCAGAGAACAAAGTACCCAAACCTGCCCCTTGACTATATCAACATCTACATTCCTTACTGATGGAGGATTCGTCACTTTTCTTCTCAAGAGCTGGTTAATTCCTCGTGCAGTGCTGTGGAAACAGATATCCTGTCAACCTGGAATCATTCTGAAATCTCTGCACAGCTGTGCCCAGAGTCTGGATTAGTATACTGAAGTTAAGATACATCTAGAACTACTGTAGTTCTGAAACTGAAATTGAAGCCTGAAGCATAGGAACCTCAGTAGTGTCTATGCAAGATTGCAGACAACCTGAAGCTTGACCTTCCCTCTATCTCTCTAAGGCCTGACGCAACATCAAGGTGCCACTCTCCTGCTGATTAGTTCAGCAGTTTCATCCTGCTAACATGCTTGCCTGCTTGAGAAGCACGGACAGGGAAGGGGTTGGGACCTCTGTGGAAGGTATGCAGCTGAGCAATGCTGAAAAGAGCAATGTCCAATGCAAACATCTCCCCACACTGCTTTCAAAGTGGTTTCAAGTCACCTTCCATCACAAAGCAGAGCAATGTCTTCTCTTATTCACCAGAAATCTAACCTATATCCCTAACTTTTATCTGAAGCTTCAGCTATTATTTGACCAGCTGTCAAACGTGTCCTGTTGTAGGCATCTCCTATTAGCCCTCAAGTCTCTTCAGAGTGCAGTACATCCAATTAGAAAAGCCTGGACAGAAAGTGCAAGAGATAATGGAAATATCCACTGGAGTTGGAAACAATCCAAGAGGTGGGGCATGGTAACATTCAGCTGCTGCCACTTACTGAAATAATATGACAAAGATCATAGGCTAATAGAGTACTTTGCAGATAAAAGATTGTGTTTATTAAGTTATCAGACTGCATTGATAACTTCAACAAGAAGAAGGATGAGATACTTCAAAGTGGTTTGGGGGAGAATGGAAACTCAGCAGCAGAGAGAGAATCTATGTGAATTTTTTCTGCTCATAGGAACCTGCTAATTTCCTGCTTTATTTTATTCAGTAATTTTATTTTATTCAATAATGCAATTCAGTAGCATTTCTATAAAAATGAGAGCAAGACAAATGCAGAAGAATCAATTCAAAAGAATTGCAGAGGGACTTAGGCTGGAAGGGACCTCGGGAGGTCCCCAGCTCAGTCTCCTGCTCAGACAGGTTCAGTGCTGGATCCTCTTGGGTCTTGTAGACCTCCAAGGATGCAGACAGGCTTTGCAGACAGCCTGCTCCATCACCCAGCTGAGCTGGCTACGTGGCATAAAGACAGAGCCTCCCTGCTTTGAAGACTTACTCAGAGCTTGCTGAAAGCACAGACACTCCCTGGGTCAGAGTTAAACTTTGATCAGGCTCAGAAGCAGAGGCCACCAGAATCCTCCTTTCAAGCCTTTTCATGGTAACAGCTACCTGGCTAGTACGCATGGCTCCTATGCACTTCACCATTATAAAAGAAGCACACTCAGTAAGAGATAAACCATACTCACCACCTGCAGCGTACTGTCCAAGTGCTCTCACTGTGCTCCAGCTCCAAGCTTATATGTGCCCTCTGATAGTGAACACCAATGAGCGACAGCAGAGCGCTCCGTAGAGATGATGCTGATTGGGTCCCACCCCATGCCTAATTATGCCCAGAATCTGATTACTCTCTGATCATAAATGATTGGGACATAAAAAAGATAAACGATTTATTGTATTTTAATTCATACTTATCTTCAGAAGTGATTGCAGCTCAACCCCCAGCAATGCTGTGGTCAGTTCAGAACATGATCTGATCTCTTTTTGCGCCTTAGACTGCTGCTTCAATTCAGGTCTAGTCTACGCCAGCATGTACCTTGCTGAATCAGGCATTAGCAACGACAGAAAAGACATGATGCCACTAACCCAGGAACCCGGGTTAGTTTTCATGCATTCTCCAGCCCTACACCTCTCTGTTTCTGATCAATGGCTTTAGTAGTAAGTTGCCTGAGAGCAGTAAATGTCTTCTGCTCTACAGTGATTCCCAAATGCTGTCTGGGGCCATTGTGAGAGATCATCTAGGTGCGAATCTCCTAGAAGAGTGAGAATCCCTCCCTTGGGGGGGGGTTAGATCCCCCCTTTCCCTTCTGCTTCTCGCCACTGTGCCCTGCTCCCCACAACACAGTGGTGGAAGAAGCTACGCTGCTATAGTCAAGCCAAAATAATGCCTATAGGAACACTTATCCTGGAAACTTTTCCAAGACCCAGACTATTTTAGTTATTAGCACAGGAATGGCATTACCTTTGGTCTTTTTGCAATAAATGAAATCTCTGGAAAACATTGCCAGAGGTAATCCATTGTAGAAGGATCTTGGGGGCTATCTGATGTGACGTAGATCGTGTAGATCTCTCATAAAGAAGCTGCAAATAGCCCTAACCCTGGTAAGGGACATGTTTGCTGCGCACTGCAGTTACAGAATAACCCAGGCACCTCTCCCTGGCTGCCCTCTGAAGCAGCATGTGCTTGAAGCCACGTTAAAAAAAAAGATTTGTCAGTGACCAAACTGAAAGAAATGGAGATCTCTTCAGCCTAAAACAAAGCAGATACTTGCAAAAGTGTTTTTTGGATCAAGTCTGATTTTTAAAAGTCACCCACCTTGAGCACAACAGGCTCTTTGACTTGGGTTTTGTGCTTTTTCTGTACCTGAGCTGAGAACAGAGGAAGAAGTCGCCCATGGGAAACTGGCTGGGGTCTGCACTGCTATCCCTGTCATATTACTGCTGGGAACTCAACAGAGTATAAACAAAATAAAAATGTATTAAGCTAAAAAAACCCACAAGGGTGAAATACAAAACTGCCACAACAGACTCACACCACCCTGTATTTTGTCAGAATAGTTACAT